CTCAGCTCTAAGTTACATGTTTATGCCTGTTTTAAGGAGACATTGACAATGTATCCTTGCAAATATTTAGTATTTTAATTCAAAGATTCGATTCTGTCCACGATTTGGTTATTGGACTGTATATGTTGATTGTAGCTTGCAGCTGGTTATCAAATCCTAGGACATATTTTAATCAGTTGTTTTTTGTGATCTTTTTTTATTTAATTAGGATACGACTTATAAATATTAGGTTGGATTTTGATTTATCTTATGTGATATGAATTTAGTATACATAAATATTTTAAAGAATAGGATTTAATTTTAATATACTGTCATGTAGTGATTATCAATTGAAAATCATCTATATGATCTTTGAAATAATTATTATAAAATTTAAGAATTTTTTATTACATAACAATTTTTATCAAATGATATTATTCTAATATAATAAATATGTTCTTAAAGTATTTTTTAAAAAAAACCGATATTATCAAGTTGATAATCTGAATGGAACCAACCCATTCTTTATCGAATTGATTTGATTTAACATTTTGATATTTTGTAATTTGAAGCAAATAAAACCAAATGATTTGAATTGTTTTTTCATTGAAAATCAAACACAATCATGTACTTATCTACCAAGTTGGTGAATCACCTGTGCCTCACATGATTCAACTACAGCAATACCACATGCATTTTTTTTCTTTATTATTACTCTATCGAAACATTACTTTACTTAAATATTAGAATCCACTTGAAGCAATAAGAGAGGACCGTTTGAAAAAGAGTCCAACTCGATTTTGGAGTCTGAATCGATCAAAACCTATCCCTATTATTTCAATTAAAAAGAGCCGCAAACATCGATTTTTTTCTCAGTTGAATTTTGAATCTCTATATCCTTAGTCCTCACATCGATAACAAACACACATATATATATATATAGAGGCCTCATTTTCCTTCGCTAAATAACAGAGGCAAAGTAAAAGGTATACAGGAACAGATGGTGTCCCAACATTGGTTTAGAGTTGTTTAATTCATATTATGCATGTTGTTGGAAATATTTAATGGAAAGAAATCAGCACTATGAAACGAATACAACAAAGAATAATTAAATCGTGCAAAGCACTAAGTTGAAGTTGACTTATATCATTTATGTTGCTTAAATAAATATTAACTCATTAATATCTATGCCCACCATGTAGAGCACAACTCAACCATCTAATTAATAGGCATAAACAATTATTACCGAGGAAATGCACACTTTTTATAATAATATAAGGTAGAGGTTAATATTTTCTTTGATTATTATAAGAAATAAATAATAGATTCAAGATAAATTAATTGTTAAATTTTTTTTATACCATTCTTTTATTAATATCATTAAATATATAAATTACTAACTACATTATTTAATATCATAGGTATTTTTAGAATAAAATTTATATTTATAAAAAAATAACATATTTAATTGTTTTTCTATTTTCTGATAATTTAATCTCTTGTTTCTTATAAAAAAAGATTAAAAGGAGTGTAAGGTAATTTACTTAGACTTATATCGACATCCTAGCTCTTTCTTTTATATTAGATTTAATTTTTTTTTTCAACTTAATAAGCATTCGTTTTTATATTATTACACTTTTGGTACTTTCTGGCGCTTTTGGACCCAAGTTCCAGTTTTGGTCTCTTTTGGTCCCCTTTTGCTTACCGGCAAAGGAAGACGTGCGAAACTCGTCTTAGGCCACTGAAACTCATTGAATATCACTCCTAGGACTCAAAGGAAGGCTTTCTCACCACCTTCTCCCCTTTTGGCACTTTTTGGCGCTTTTGGACCCAAGTTCCAGTTTTGGTTTCTTTTGGTCCCCTTTTGCTTACCAGCAAAGGGAGACGTGCGAAACTCGTCTCAGGCCACTGAAACTCCTTGAATATCACTCCTAGGACTCAAAGGAAGACTTTCTCACCACCTTCTCCGCTTTTGGCACTTTCTGTCGCTTTTGGACCCAAGTTCTAGTTTTGGTCTCTTTTGGTTACATAGATGGTAATCATAGGTCATATTTATGATCACAAGAATATCAGAATTTTCAATGGTTATGAGAAGCTCGCACATGCAAACTATACATCACCTGCACCCCAATATTATATGATCATTAACATGTCACTTAATGAAGTATGTGTTCTATTTATTATTATTATTTTATTAGTACAAATACTAAAACAATTTTTATACTAGGTTTCTTAGAAAATGTATACTTTTCATAAATACTAATACATGGCTCAAGAGAGTCTATAGTAATACACATTTTTTTTTTATAGGCAAAACAAATCTTATTAAAAAGAGTTCAAGGGAAACTCAAAACCCGTATACACAAAAAATTACTTACTCAGAGAAATAAAAAGCAAAAATATACTTATGCAAAATTAAGATAGATGCAATTTCGTGGGTTCAGATACCAATCAGCTAACATAATAGCTTCTCCCTTACTAACAAGTGATAACCATTTCCAGGATCTCAGAATAATAGAATCTAAGACTTCCCTCTCATCCAAAACACCATTGGAAAATATAATTCTATTTCTATGCAATCACAAAGACCACACTGTACTTACCCAAATAATTAATAAGCATATTCCTTCTCTTTTACTACAGCCAACATCAACCCATGAAAGCAAGTGAGTCGATAAATCTAAAGGCAAAACCAGTGAGAATCCAAGCCAACGCGCAGTAAAGTACCAGATTTGAGATGAAACTGAGCACGTTAAAAATAAATGAGTTGGAAGTTCCTCCAAACCATGACAGAAACAACAAGTTATATCATCAATTTGAACACTACGATCAATCAGTAAACCTTTACAAGGAAGTGCATTCAACAACAATTGTCAAGAAAAAACCAGACACTTAAGAGGACCTTCCCTCTCTATAGCCTTTGCAAGGCATCTGCCGTACACTGATCTACACTATTAGGACCACCAAAAAGTTCAAATAGCCATGAATACGCAGATTGCACTCAATAACAACCTGAAGAATCTGCCATCCATACCCATTTATCTTCTTGTAGTAACTTAATATAAACTCCATCCACAAGCTCCAACAAAAGATTAAAACTCGAGATCTCATGTTGAAAGAGTCCTCTTCGCCAACTAACATTCCAAACCCATCTAGTGCCATTATGAAAACCATTATCCAATACACGTGATTCAGCATTTCTCGCAACTGCAAATAATCGTGGAAATGCTTCACACAATCGCACCCCTCCTACCCACTTATCTCTCCAAAAAAGAGTGTGTAAACCTGCATAAAGAAAAAGTTAAGGTTAATATATGATTTATGACAAATCATATAGTTTGATTTTTTTAAAGATTAGAAGAGAGCGCTTTAGATAAATTAATTTTAGGAACTTCTTCTCTTTCTCTACTTTAAATCTCAAGACCCAGTAACACTATTAGAGACATCTTACATTAAAAACCTACTAGAGTTTTTTATGTAGAGTCACTTTTTCCTTACTCTACGTAAATTCGTGTTGGACTTTTTCGCCTTCGATCTTGCAATCCACAATATTAGTGTACATGCTAAAATATTTTATTAAAAAAGTTAAATAAAAACGTAAATGGTTTATCAAAAATTAAAATCCTTTATTTTAATAAAACTAATCTTAAAAAGCAAAAGATGTCAATTAACATTTGCATGAGACTCCCAAGTGTTTTTTTTTTGCAGTGGCCCACAAGTTCTAGGGGTTTTTTGAAGAGAAAAAAACAAAGGCTTGAAACGTATCAACGATATAGATTGAGGTCTAGGCCCAAACAATATTTAGGAGTCCATGAACCTTTCAGATTGGTTTGCCACTATATAATTAATACAGACCCACAACATTACTTTATTATTAATTAATGCTCAACTATATCTTTTATTTTAGAGTAAAACGTAGTTTTAAAGTATATTAATTTATTTTTTAAACTTAAATTTTTAAAATTTTGTAACTTCAGCTTATGGAGACATGTGGGAAAGTAGGGAATGAGAAGAAGGAAAACCGAGACAAGGATTGAGGATAGAGACGGGACAAAAGTTAAGAAACCAAACATGAAGCGATTTTATGATTTTATGACGATGTAACGATGTTCTAATATGTTTGATCGTCTATATAGTATAGATGTGTGCTTTTTTAAGCAAACTGAGAGTAGCTTATAGATTGAAATGGTACATGGATGTAATATTAATTAATATCTAAACATGTACTTTAATTATAATGAAAACATAGGTATAATAATATAAAATTTTGTTAACCTCAGTTTTTAATAATGAATTTAAGCATCTATAAATATTTTTTTTTTATAAAAAATACATAGTTATTATATTAAAGATAAAAATATAATAAATATTTTTTAATAAAATTTTACTATTATTAATTACTTATATTAACATTGATATTAACAAAATTCAATAATATAATCTAATTATTATATTAAACTCGATTCAAACGTGCAATTAATGATAATACAAATTATAACAATGTCTTTTGCAAAGACCACTAATTGAAATGTCATGACCAAGGTAAAATGACCTTGAACATGTGTTTGAAAAGGAGATTTTATGGAGAAAGTATAATTTTTGCAAAGATTTTAATAAAATGTTAAATATATTTTTTAATTAGATAAATTACACTTATACTCTTTTAACATTGATGAAAGTTTATTTGATATCTGTTTTATTTCACACAAAATACTTATAAATTATATAACAATATAAAATTGTATAAATTTTTTATTAACACAAATATTTCTTTATTTTTGTATGTATATAGAAATAAAAGGAGGTTAAAATAGTATCATAATAGAAAAAATACTAAATAAAATTTCGTTAACCAGAGAGTGTGAATATTATTTATTATTTTATTTGTGTACTAGTTTTCTTTAAGATAAAATAAATGAAGGAAGTATTAAAATAAATTGAGTATAAATTTTATTATTATATTAATAGCTTTCTAAATTGAGTATGGCTGTTGGCTCCCTCGCAAATGGAATGATCCAAAATTCTCAACAATAATTGCATGAGGATTTTCTACTTCACTTTCGCTTCCTCCAATCCTATCCCAAACTTCAGCTTGTAGGGTTTAATGGCAGGCACATCCACGTCGCCGTCGCCGGCGACACCGGCAACCACGATAACTGATCTGAACGAGGACTCCATAGCTCAGTGCGCCGCCTACTTTAACCTCCGCGACGTTTGCAACTTGGCGATGACCTCCACAACTCTCAAACGCCTCGCTTATTCCGATTCCATTTGGCAACGCTTCTTCAGGTAAGCTTCGCTTTCTCTTTGATTCTCTTTCCGCGACTCTATCCAATTGAATTGATTGAAAGACGTCGTTTCGTAGGGAGCACTGGCATCAACCACCGCCTTCGCGTTTGAGTGGGATCGGAGCGAGGGAAGTGTATCTGGCTAGGCACACCGCGTTGCGACAGTTCAAGTTCGTCGATCCCTTTGTTGTTGACTTTGATGCAAATGCTAAGCCTTTCAACCAGTTGCTCCTCCACAAAAGTCATGTTTTCTTCTCACAGGTTTTTCATATAGTATAATGCTTCACAGTTACCTTTTTCTTTTGAGAAACTGTATTTTTTTGTTTAGTATCCACAATTTATGTATAATCAAGGAAGAGATTGAGAGAAAATTTAGATAAATAATGTGACTAGAGGAGTGAATGAGAGATAATAAGTACTGTATGAAATTACTTTTTCATTTTTCTCTGTGTAATATGTCTGGGAGTGGGTTAAAATTATTATTTCTATTATAATGATTTTTTAAAATAATAGATTAGTACATACATTAGTGTCCATTTGATGAGCATGATATAATAATGAGAGTTGAACAATAACATGACAGGATAAGAGTAAGATAGAGATAAGAGTAAGATAGATTCTTATCTTAATTTTTATTTTATGTGTACCAAAATAATAAATTAGATACATTATGTTATTCTATTCTATTTATTTTTAACCCATACTCTCTCATAGGATAAAATTTACACTAGAGACCGGGATAGAATAAGCCCAATAAGATTGACTTATCCTATTGGTTAAGTAAATATCAGAAATACAATAGGATGGAAAAAATTATCCTATCTTGCTCTTTTATTTTGTTCATCAAACGAGCCTTTAAGATTTTATTTTTTTGTAACCATTATTTTTTCTCTTAATGGAAAAAATAAAAAATCCATCTCCCTTTCCTTTTTTACCAAATCATACTCCCAACATATGGTGTTTTGCTTCTTTTCTCATCTTTGCACTCTGCTTATTGTTGTTGAGTGGTGTTGTTAGCAGGGTTCACTTGTGGAAATGATAAACTTGGATAGCTATCTAAAGGGAACAACAGATTTTGTCCATGTGTTAAGTGATCATAAAGCTAGAATCACCTGTATGAGGTAAATTAGGTAATCCATGTTGCTTTTATATTTAAATTTCTATTTTGGGCTTATTACAAGATTATTGCAGTGTGTCTCTCTCCTTGTAGATTTCCTTCAGGCTTTCATTCTTTTACCTATGATGCCATTGTTGCCGTGCCATATGCATGCAAGTGGTTCAACAGTTTTTCATTCTTTTTTTCATATTTTTGGTGCATTAGCTCTATTTGTTTCATAAATTCATCTGAACAGGCATATGATTATTCCTGGTATTTATGAGTTATTTTATAATCTCATTTTAACCTCACTTTCTGAATTTAACAACATGAGCTGAAACCGAACTTTGTTACTTTCTTCCTATGTATAACTACTTATGGGAGTGCCAGTAGAAAATAGAACACCGAACTTTATTACTTTCTTCCTATGTATAACTACTTATGGGAGTGCTGGTAGAATATAGAACTGATCACTCCCGAAAATTAATGACTGGGGATCAATTAGACGGAGCCTTGAAGTTTAAAAGTACACATTAAACTTTTACTAATGTTTTCCTATGATATTATCATTAGTTTGCTGCTAGTGGTAATAACTTAGTCAATCATTTTGATTCTTAAAATGGGCCCTTCCAAGTTCTAGTTTGCTGAAATACAGCCTTTGGTAAAGATGATATTCCAAGCCTTTTGTTGTGGAACTAAATGGTTATGCATGCATAAACTAAAAATTCATAATTTTTTCCAATACCTAAAAGAAATCATACTATAGCTGACCCAAAAGTTTAATTTGAAATTGCATTTATTTTGTAAGCTTACAGTTAAAGATTAATAGGACGAGGCTTAGTTATTGGGTTGTTTGTAAGTTAGTAACAACATTCCTGGAATTATTATGCTATTTTGTGTTTCTAAGTCGAATATCTTTTCCACCAAGAAACTGGAACTTCATGGAATTCTGGGTAACTTGGCCCAATCTGAAGATTCTGAACTGTATTAATTAAACTGCAGGTTGTTTTCCCTTAATGAAGTGTCTTTACTGTTTCGAGGTGAAACACAGGGAGAACAGAATGTTCTGGTCACCTCCAGCTGTGATCACTCTATTCGTCTATGGTGGAAGGTATCACTTAGTTTAAGCAATATTGTATGTGGCCCCCATGCCTATGTGCACATTCTTAATCCTGTTGTTCCCCAGCATGTTTTGGGTGTTAATAGGAATGGTGGAAAGTAGAAGGGAGAATGAAAACTGAGTGTGATGGAAATATTATATTTTTCTCTTTTTATTGCTTGATAGAGAAGCTGGATAATGATAAGTGTGGGAAATATGTTGATCGAACCCTTTTTCTTTGTGATATCAAAAGTAAAATAAATAACAATTCCATTATTTGAACCACTAAAAGTTATCACCATATATCATTGTTTCTATCTATCACTTACTCTTTATTTTTTCTATGCATGCTTCCTAAAACTACACCCAATAAATGAGTGGGACACTTAAAGGTATCCAGTTTTAGTGGTTCATGAAACATTTTTCCCTAAATACTTGAAGTTGTTTTGTGTTACAGTTCAATTTTCTGTCCAAAAAAAAAAGAACAATAATTTTGTTAACTTGTGCTTGCTCCTTGGAAGCACTTTACCAAGATGAACCTCTGACCCTTTTGAGACAAGATATTCTTTATGTCACATCTCTTTTATGCTGAGTTTGTTTTCATCTTTTCCGTTTTGGAGGGTTCAAGCCTGCGGTGCCTTAGGGGTCACAATGGTCCAGTGTTGTCACTATCAAATAAATTATTGGGAGATGATAGCAGCAAAGTATTGGCAAGTGGAGGAGAAGATGGTACTGTTCGACTATGGTCCCTTAGCTCAAGTGGCAAACGGGGACAGCGTGCTTTGAAGGCTACACTCTATGGGCATGAAAAACCTGTAAATTTGTTGTCAGTTGCTGGGTACGAGTTCATCTATTTAAGTATTCATTGTTACTAATCTAGAATACTCTCCTTTACCCAGTGTATGTTATGGTAATGAAATATGGGGTAGCATATGGGTAAATTAATGGCAATATTTTTCCTCCTGATTTAAGTCTTGGCTGATTAAATGTTGAGTGGGTATCTATGCTATGCGCCTATGCATTCCAAACTTATCTTTTATTCTAGTTCTTGTGCGGGAAGGGGGGTTATTGTATAAAAATTCATTTGCATTTTTTAAAAATTTATGTCTTGCCTTATGGGTATATTATATAATTTAGGGATGCATGATTGTTTTAGATTGAATACTAAGTATTCATATAATATTTTAATGTATGCTCTGCCTGGCAGATTAGCTGGTAGTGACATCTGATTGAAATTTCTGGTTTGCTAAAGTCAGCTTTAGATTCTTGTTAACAGTACGATATTTGTCAATGGCCAACATAAAGCTTTGTTGGTCTTTATGACATGGATATTCGATTTGCATCCTACTTTGTAGGAAAAGGCTTTGTTGTTATTGTAAACAGTAAGGATTGTAAACTTGTAAGAGTTGAAGAGTTACCTCGAGAATTTGACAGGCATGCTTTCTTGTTAAGTTTTTAGGTGGAATTTTTTAATTTCATTTTTACTGACTTGGGCTGATTATGTTGTTTCTCGTAGAGAAGTAAGTCAAGGGGTCTGTATTAGTCATCTCCTTCAACTACAATGATAGATCCTTCATTTCCTCATTTTTCAGGCACAAAACTTCGCTTTTGGTGACGATCTCAAGAGATTCTAAGGTTATCCTTGAATTCCTGTCTTCTGTGTTGCCATGATAATTTACATATGTATATACTTGATTTTTTTATTTGTTCTTTGTTAATTATCTTGGTTTCCTAAAGAATGAACATAACATGCTTATTTATTTGAAAATTTGTGGTAATGGTCCACAAGATGTTTGTGGTTATTGTTGCAATGTAAAAAAGGAGAAACGTTTCTATGAAGTGCATCTCATATAACTTACAGTTTTTCTAACGAAAGCTAACCAAGATAAAGAATATATTCATCCTTAGATGCTAATTAATTAGTACTCGGTATGTAATGTAAACTAGTTGGCATTTTTTTCATTCAAATGCAATTTGAGTTTAAATTCAGTCCACGTGAAGTGATTTTTTTTACAGTTTACACTAGCAGTTAACAAAAAAGTGTCGAATAGTTATAGTGAATAAGGTCAATTTTTTTAACTCCAAAGTATATTTCTAGATTTTGTTTTGAAGTTGACAGTCTTTTTAATAGATGGCACTTTCACTGATAATTTAAAATTTTGTACTCCGTCATTGCATCTCATTTAGGCTATTCTTTTGCATTTTGGGAATAAGCTGGTCTATTCTTTTACAATCTTAATAGGCGAGGGTTTGGGACACAGGCACAGCTACATCATCTGCTGTTCGCTCCTCCTGTTGTGTGGGAATGACTTCTGTTCCTGGTGCACCTGTAAACATGAAATGCCATGAATCGCTATTGTATGTGGCAGCTGGTTCCTCTGTCACTGCAGTTGATTTAAGGACAATGCAGAGAGTTATCACTGCAGCTGTGCATCGATCAAAGCTGTGTTCATTTGATGCTGTTCCTTCAAAATCTTTAATATGCACAGGTGGTGATGGCAGGTATGATTATGATTTTAAGAGAAGAAAGTTGGCTATTGTTGCCAATCATCTAAATTAGTGAATTACTCTTGTTCTTTGTTGTTTTTACTGTGTGTAAAGGTCATGGTCGAGTATCATGTTATCTTTAGTTGATATTTTTCAATGGACGGGCACTGACCACAACATGAATTCTGCAGAGCAATGCTTTGGGATATTAGGAGAAATCAAGAATCATTAAAACCAGAACCGATTGTTGAGTTGGAGGGACATTGTGGGCAAGTAACTTCATTGTTCATGGATCAATACAAAATAGTTACTGGGGGCCCTGACAATGCTTACGTTAATGTATGGGAAGTTGACACTGGTGTGCAAACAAATACTTTGCTTTGCCGTTCAACTGAGAGAGATGGTAGCAGATCAGGCTGTGATGCCATGGCTGTAGATGGGTGTAGAATTGCTACTGCTAGCTCTTGTCAAGATTGGGGTGTTTTGCGCTTTAGGGACTTCACCAATGCTTCGAGTCCTGTTACCAAACTAGAAAATCAGCCGTCTTCAAAATTTTGGGATTCCGTATCTGATGATGACAGTGATGGCTGATAATTTTGGCGGCCCCCAAAATTGTATAGATACCTTTTCTTTTTAGTTAATTAGTTACAAAGTTAGTTTTGCATCTAGGTTTACGTGTTGTCTATCTGCGAAAATGTATTTTCTTCAGAGGGGATTTTATGTAAAATTTTTATTAAATAAATTGTTGTATATGCTACTATTTTTTTCCCGAGCGCTTTATATGAGCGTCCTGAACAGAATCCAACTGAAGAAAATATGAAGAAAATATTTTTTTCCCTATAAGCATCCTAGGTGTCTACTTTAACCTTTCAACCACTAATATGAAGAAAACTCCAAAACTTTTATAGGATTTTGGCTGGCAAACGGAACAAAACAAGTTTGCCACCAATTTCCCGTGTTGTCGTCTCTTGCTTTTAACTTCAATCATGCATGTAGTAAAAACAAAAGCCCAAGGCAAAGACAAATATGCATACTTAAGAATACATTCCTCACGCAGCATGTCAAAGGCAATAGAGAAGGAAAAGAAGTTTACCAAAGAGGAAGAGTAAAAAAATCCTATAAAAGAAATATGGAAATGGTGATAAAGAATGTGGCATTGGCTGGTGACTTTGCACTAGGTCGATATGCTAAGAAACAATAAATAGAGCCTGCAGCAACTACATCACTTGTAGGATAACCAAGGTCAGAAGCAATGGTTGGTGCTAGGGCAACAAGTCACAATTCTACTACCACCACTACAAAAGAGAAATTCAAGGATTCCAGGTTTCAGCAGGTTATAAAAGAGAAATTCTCTCAATCCCTTAACCAAAGTTTCAAATAGATATAATGTAAGCAACGACTTCAGTGGTTCTGCTTTATTAACTAATCCAAGTTGAACTTTGAACTAACAGATGTATAGATGGACTGGTTGATTTGAAGCCAACTTATGAGATAAGCTCTCTTGGAACATACTCTCAAGACTTTCTCTGAGAGTTTAGAGAGAAATTAAAAAAAAAAGGTTTGAAAGGTAAAGGAAGAGGAAGGAGTGTTAATACAAAACTACTCAAATTTAGATAACTTAAGAATACAAGATTAAGAGAATTTATAAACTCCTCTCTCTCATATAAAAACTCTCAAATATGGCTAAATACTACATAAGTCTTTTCTTCCCCTCTCCTAAAAGTTAACTCTCAAACAGAGCCTTAAAAAGAAGAAAGGGAACAAAGAAAAGGTTTCTCCTTTTCGGCTTTACTGTTTTATTCCTAACTTTTTCTTATTCATTTGTTAATGCTTTATTTTCTCGAAAAGCATTGGCTTATCCTTGTTTAGATGCGAATCATGTTCAAACACTGCCTTTGGAGCGTCGATTGGTATTGATTATTGGGTTACATAGTTCTCAAGCAAAATTTTGCTTTGATCACTCTGTTAAATGCTAATCAATTATAAGTATTGAAATTTATTTGTCTTTCAAATATCGCGGTGGTTTTACGATGACATTCTCCTTCAAATATCCCAGGGGTTTCGTTAATGCTCCGTATACCTCTAACAGATCTCAGATTAGGGGAAAGAGAGATAATACAGACCATGGCAAAACTTAGGATCTTGTCCTCGGTTCTGATGGTGCAGGTACTTACTCTCTTCTCCAAGTATTTCCACATCATAGGCACCCAAGAGGGAGCTACACGTGCTTATGACACACTGAGCTATTGAGTACAGAGGGACTGTAACCAACTTCGATTTGAATGCTTACAGAAGATGGTTAAAGCCGATTAGCCGATTAATTGTTTATTAGACCGCTGAGATAGGGTACTTTTAATTAAATGCTGGATTGCTGTTTGGGGTAATGTATTTGGAACCCTGAAGATTGCAAACGTTGCTCTAGCATCATAACTTGTTAAGGAACACAAAACCATTAAGATTTTCAAATTCATCCAGTTTAACTTCTTCAAGGAATATAGGGTTTTTCTTTAGTGGACAGAAGCTTTTCTTCTTCGTACCTGGTTGCTAACCAGAAGGCTGCTGGCCCTCTTTGGCCGTGTTTTAGATTTCATTGTCTATCTTTTTTGTTCTTATTTCTCTTTAATTAATACAGACTTGATTCTATGATTTATAATCCAGTAACGATCAACTTGTGTCATAATACTGTAAAAGTAAGTGAAGATAAACCCAACAAAACAAACTGATCACAGGGCATGACAAGGTATGAAAAAGCCTGGTTGAACTGGAGTTAATAGTTCGAACAATAAACAATCTAAATACTAAACCCATCGTCAAACCTCTTGTACAATGATACATGTGTTTTCTTAGAATCATACAAACTTCTATCCTCTTGTGAGAGCATCAAAATTGCTTCCTTTTGTTTCTGAAAAGCTTGTTCCGTCTTGCATAAACATAAGAGAGAGCAAGGAAAGCCGATGCAGAGATTGAGACCGCAGCCCAGGGAAAGGGAGGATCCCTAAAGCACACAAGGGATGCCTCTATTTCTTGAGAGGCGTGATACACAATGGAGTGGATGGCATACAGATCATGATCAGAAGATCTCAGGTAAAACAAAGCCATCTCAAAATCCAAATGCGACATCGCAGACACTACTTTGTTCAGCTTGTACTTGAACAGGTTCCATCTCTGCACAAACTCCACATGCTGCTTTTGCTTGAGCAGATTTTTGTCGCCGCCGTGCGTCTCTATGGACTGAAGAACATCTATAGCACTCGTTATACTGTAATTCAACGACGTCAACAGAAGATTCCTTCTAGCAGCATCTTTCTGCACAAAAGACAGAGACGACATCTCCGAAAATGGCCCAAACGGAGTCTGCCCCATGCTCCATGTATAATCCACCAAAGTCCCATTGTGCTGGGGGCTCCAGGACAGATGCGTCGGCGACACTCCCCACATGCTTTGCAGAATTGAACCAACAATCGGCCGCTCAAGCTCCCTCGTCTGTGTGAACACATGTCTCCCATTGCAACTATAATCACTCACAGTCTGTGTGTTCCTAGTCCTAACTGCAATCACCATATCCTTAAAAGCAACAGATTGATGATACCGATCGAGCAGCAACAGTGACGTATAATCCAAGTCAAAAACATACACCGGAATAACCCTGCCAAAGTCCTCCTCCGGCACACCAGCCAGTTTCCTCAACTCATCCGCAGAATCAGACAAAATCTGATGCAATCGCTTGGAATCCAAATACTCACTCACAATCAATGTATAATTATCAAACAAAAACCTCGACGTATACGAATTAATCGACCGCGAAACCGCGAACGAACAAATCGGACACTCCGAATACCTAATTGCATAATCCTTGAAACTCAAACTCTGATCCCCTAACAACAACCCGCCACTCTCATCTCTAAAGCTCTTCTCAATCAACCTCCAATCCAAACCACTCAAATCCCTCTCCCTCTCACTATACACATGAACAAACTGAACAACCAAAGAATTCTCAAACGGCACAGGTATTCTCAAAGAAGGAGCAAGAAAAACCTGGTAAGCGCTCCAAACCAAGGAAGCGAGATCCGCAGCGAACGCCTTTTGAGACTTCGGCCGGCCGTGGAGTGCAGCAAGAGGATGAAACTCGCCGCGCGGGATGACGCCGTCGCCGGAGATAGCAGGACCGTAGTCGACAGGGCCAGCAGCGAGATCGATCCAAAAGTAACGATCGGCGGCGGTCCAGAAGGTGCCGGAACATTTGGTGAACGCGGCGGAGGAGTCGCCGGAGGAGTAGGTATAAGCATAGGGTTTGGAATTGGGAGAAGGAGGAAGGTTGAGGAGGTAGAGATGAACGTGCGATTGGGAAGGGTTAGGGTTTGACTTGTGGAAGTGTTGTTGAATGATTTGGTCGATGGAAGAGAAAGGGATTGGGAGGAGAGGGGAACGGAGAGAGGAGGGTGTGGAGTGTAACTGAGAGGAGAGCGTTTGGGAGAGGAGAGAGGAGAGAGAGGGAGGGGCGTGGGTGACGTGGAGATTGAGGGAGTGGGAGAGGGAGAGAGAGTGGAGTTGGTTGGGGAAGGGGGTGATGACGTGGAAGGGCGATGAGAGCGTTTGCGAGACGAACGACGAGAGCAGCGAGGGGGTGTCGGAGGGGAATTCTCCGACGAGGTGGAGAGAGAGCGTGATTGGGAGAGAGAGTGAGAGAGAGGTGTTCGGGTGGAGAGAGAGTGATTTCTTTATCGATGTTGGCAGTGAAAGGAAGGAGTCCTTCGACGCTTGCGGGTCATTCCGCGATTGCTCGCTTAGGAACGACTCTAACCCTATGATTGCCGCGCCCGTCGTGGCGCCGCCGATAAGCAAGAGCCAGACGCCGATCACTGCGGCGGTGAAGGACCTCATGCTGCCCACTGAAGATGTACAAGGAGTCAGGTCCTCACTTTCTACTCACTACTCACCACTGCGACTGGGAACGCTGTAAATAAAATGATTAAATATCATTAATAATTATATTTTTTATATTTTAAATTTTAAATTAATTATATGATTATTTTAAATAGTTATTTTATTTTATTTTTATTTTGGTTAATAAAAATTCACTCCGTAGTCCGTGATATACTGGTATGTATATATATTTTTTATTTATTTATAATTTTTCACTAAACCCTAAACCCATAATAATATTACTCAATTTTAAGGCAAATTTGGTCAGAAATAATTTTAAGTGCATGCCACTGAAATTTGAAATTTTATGAAATAATATAATATTCTACGATGTCACTCATTTTAGTTCACGATGTTTCAACAGATTCAGATTAATATGAATGACCTATTTAAGAGAATATATGAATACTTTATAAAAAATAATTTACGATTTTATATTTTTAAATCATTTTAATAAAATTTATGATAAGTGGAGAAAATTTAAAAATATATTAAATAAACACACATCATAAATATTCTGCATAATTTAGGTTTAATCTATTAAATTTTTGTTAATTATTTATTTAGTTAATAAATAAGCTCAAATTTAACAAGTTAAACTTAAATCTGCATATATTAAAAATAATAATTCACAAATAATTTATAGTTACATATATTGAAATAATTATAATATTTATTATTAGTATATATAATATTTATATAAATATATTTTACTTTATTTTACTATCTAGTATAAACATATGCATTAAATATTAAGTTAATAAAGGTTTTAAGTGAAGTTTCAAAAAAAAAGTACTTACTATGTTTATGTAATTTTAATAAAATAAAAAATATATATTTAAATAGTTAAACTGCAATCGATTAAAACTGAATTTTATAAGAGGTGGAAGACTGGAAGGTAACTGGGTCGAGGGGAGATGGCTAGCTATTTGTTGGACGACGTCGTTTATCGGTAGAATGAAGGAAATCTGAACCGTTTAAGGAATGACATATCGAACGGCAAGGAGCAAAACGTGCAGCTGGAGGGGCGTATATATAGTGTGGGTTGAGTGGCGCCATAACATTTGGTTTCAGAGAGTAGAAGTAGTGTTGTGTTGTGTTGTTTGTCTATGTACCAATCCTTCTACTATTTCTTCTTCTCTCTACGTTCTCATTGTTAGTGAGCCATGACGGACGGCCACCTCTTCAACAATATCACCCTCGGAGGCCGCGGAGGCACTGTAAGTTTTCTCTCTCTAGTTTCTCTCTCTCTCTCTATAATATTTCGTTTCGCTCAAACCTTCGTCTTGTTCTTCTTCTTCAAACCCTAATTCAGCTATGCTTTTGGTGCCTAGTCTATTTACTTTGTTTTGCGTGTGTCACCGAGGGTTTCGCTAGCTGGTCCTTAGTGAGCGAATCTTAGGGTTTTTTGTTCTGTGTATTATTTTCTCCAGCTTTAATCCCTAATTATTGTTACTGTTAATTTTCTGTGGATATTTATTTTGTAAATATGTTGTAATTTTTTATCTGTTGTATTTTGTGACCACTGCTGGAAATTTTGGCATTGATGGTTTTGTTTCCCTCTTAAAAACTATCAGGAGTGCTTTATTTAGTAGATGTAGAAAATAGACAAACTAAAAAATCGTTTTCTGCCGAATCATGTGTAGGTGGTTTTAGGAAATTGAAATGTTTTCTAGTGAATTTATGAATAGGAGACTGAGATTAGTTGTTCTTAAGTATGACACTTCTTTTTGTATTGTTGGTCTTGCAGAATCCCGGGCAGATAAAAATATATTCTGGAGGAATTGTATGGAAGAGACAGGGTGGTGGTAAATTAATTGAAGTTGATAAAGCTGACATAATGGGGGTGACATGGATGAAGGTTCCGAGAACTAATCAACTTGGCGTTCAGATCAAAGATGGGTTGTACTACAAGTTTACTGGATTCCGTGACCAGGTTACTCCCTTCCCTTCTTGAATGTGTATTTATATAGGTTTAATGTGGAAAAGGAATGCAAACTTTTGGTTTGGTTTCTCATTTTTGCTCATTAACACTTTGACAGACCACATTATTGGGGTCTTGGATTTGAATTGCTATGGAATGACTGTTCTTATGTTGTTACAAACACATTTTGCAGGATGTTGCAAGTTTGACCAATTTTTTGCAAAACACCTGTGGAATAACGGTGGAGGAGAAACAGCTTTCTGTCAGTGGGCGTAATTGGGGAGAGGTTGATTTAAATGGTTAGTGATCTTGACATGAACTGATTCATGTTTAATTGGTTTTCTCCACATAATGTATCATCTATATCTTAGACATCTCTTTTTGTCATCCTTGTTATAAATTCAATAAGTTTACGTGTCTCTGGAAAAATAGTTAATTTGGCATTGCATTGTGTTCTGTTTAACATAGCAGCACTCATGAGGACATTGTATGTAGTATTTTCAGCAAGGGGTGGACTCTCCTTTTTTTTTGTCGTCGAAGAAATTGAGTATTTATCTTCCAGTTTGTTCTTGGAGAGCATTATCTTTTCTTATATAGCTTAGGATGGTTTAGAAAGGCCATGAATTTATGTGCTGCTGCTCCCCCCCACCCTGCTTGTACTCTTTATGTCTCAGATGCACGTAAGCATCACTACCTCTTCTCTGGTAATCACATCAAGTTAAATTTTAAGTGAAAGAAGTTAAGATATAAATGTGGTTTTCCTGTTTGTGGAAGAAATTCATCTCATGCATGTTTTCTTCTAATGCAATCAAATGCATCCTTCCTCTTTATGGTAGACTCTGAAAGCTTGTTTGATAGAATTGACTTGACTACTTTTATAGTTATGCTACTAGTTTAGTTTCTTATGTTTCTATTTCCATTTCAGGAAATATGCTGGCTTTCATGGTTGGTTCAAAGCAAGCTTTTGAGGTGTCTTTAGCAGATGTCTCTCAAACACAGCTTCAAGGGAAAAATGATGTGATCTTGGAGTTTCATGTGGATGACACAACTGGAGCTAATGAGGTATTGCTACCTATATTTACATGATTTGTACGCTTTTATAGTCTTGTAAGTTTTAACAAATTCATAGTGTTTAGCAAAACTAGCAGCTAGTTGCAAGAAAATTGTTCTTATCCAAGCTTGGGCTTGAACAGTAGGCAGACTGCAGTTAATAGGTCCAATATGCATGTTCATTTTGTTGTGGTCTAATATTGTTTATGGTATGATCTCAGAAAGATTCACTGATGGAGATAAGTTTCCATATACCAAATTCCAACACCCAGTTTGTTGGTGATGAAAATCGCCCTCCTGCTCAGGTGAGTTTGTTCACAACTATAAAAGAACCTGTGTTACATTAACCTCTAGGTTAACTGACATTTATACACCCTCTTTCGACTCAGGTTTTCCGTGACAAAATTATGTCTATGGCTGATGTTGGTGCTGGAGGTGAAGATGCCGTCGTCACATTTGAGGGTATTGCAATCCTTACACCAAGGTAATGTATTTAAATGCAGAGATACATATCATTGAAGCATTTTTGGCTTATTGTCACTGTCTTGTATAAGTTCTTTATAGACATATTTTAAGCATTAATCTCTACTAATAGAAATTTTTACTTTTATGCAGGGGACGATACAGTGTTGAGTTACACATGTCATTCTTGCGGCTTCAGGGACAGGCTAATGATTTCAAAATCCAGTATAGCAGTGTGGTTCGCCTATTTTTACTTCCAAAGGTTCATTTCCTGATCCCTCACTTTCATTTGGCTGATATTTGTTTTTATATTAAGTGATATACGAGTAAAAATTCAGTGCAGTCAGCCAACCATGTTTTACAATTGATGCTTGTCTTTTGACTTATTAACTATACTTACAATTTCTCATGTCAAATGGGTTTATGTATTCGTAGTCTAATCAACCACATACCTTCGTCATTATTAGTCTTGATCCACCTATCCGGAAAGGACAAACTTTGTATCCTCATATTGTTATGCAGGTAATTACACAATGGTTCATGATTTACCAATTTGTGATGCATATTTTAATTGCTTCTGAACCTAATACATTTTTATTCTGCTATGCTTTGGTATAGTTTGAAACTGATTATGTCGTTCAAAGCGAATTGGCCATAAATGAAGATCTTTATAACACAAAGTACAAGGACAAGTTGGACCTGTCTTATAAGGTATTGCTTAAAATATTAATAATTGATAATAATCCCCAATATACTGCTCCTCAAGAACTGCCTAGGAAAATGAAAATGAGCATCTTGTATAGTTTAGTTATTAACGTTGTGCATGAATTTGGTAACTGTTGGTCATGCACATCACGTTACAGTGTGGCTGATGTGTTTCACTTTCCAATCAATTATCAGGGCCTCATTCATGAAGTTTTCACCACAATTTTACGTGGCTTATCTGGTGCCAAAGTTACTAAGCCTGGAAAGTTTAGGAGTTGTCAAGATGGTTACGCAGTGAAATCATCTTTGAAAGCTGAAGATGGAATTCTGTATCCCCTTGAGAAGAGCTTCTTCTTTTTACCTAAACCTCCCACTCTCATTCTTCACGAAGAGGTAGGAATCTGAATGTGCTTGCAAATGACCGGATATCAATTTCTGGTTGACATGCATATGATATTAAAGGCTTGAAGTTTTGATTATTCTATCCTTTCCTATTAGATTGATTACGTGGAATTTGAGCGGCATGCTGCTGGTGGTTCCAATATGCATTATTTTGACCTTCTTATCAGACTAAAATCTGAACAAGAGCATCTCTTCCGTAATATTCAGAGAAATGAGTACCACAATTTGTATGAATTTATCAGGTAAATGTTAGCTCATTGCCAAATTTTACTTCAATTAATTGTTTATTGTATAAACAATTTGTTTTTGGCTTGCACTTGCAGTTCAAAGGGCTTGAAAATTATGAACCTAGGAGATGCCCAACCCACTGTTGGTATGGCCAAGGTTCTTGAGAATGATGATGATGATGCTGTTGATCCACATCTTGAGCGTATAAAAAATGAAGCTGGTGGAGATGAAAGTGATGAGGAGGTGCCCTAATCTGCATTCTATATAACTTTTATCTTATATTTAGTTCATGAGTAGACAGTAGCATTTAGTAAGTTTGTTTTCTAACCTTAGAAATCATGGAGGCAACATTTATTTGTATTGATCAACATCTGAAAATACTTGGGCGTGAAAAAACTCAAGTGAACTTGGAGCTCACATTTCACGTTTTTGCTGTTCTTGAGCTTTCATTTTCATAACCATGCAATTGACCATTCTCCTGTTAAAGTATGCTGTTTTGCTTTTATTGTGCTTGTGGGCATTTGTTCTGTACTTGTGTACATGTCTATTCAGTATGAGTGCACTGCAAGTTGCTCCACTTGGCCCTTTTCATTTTGGGGATTTTTCTTGTCTTGGTTTGTCTCTATATACCTAAACAGTGAAATGTCTACAGGATGAAGATTTTGTTGCTGATAAGGATGATGAAGGTTCTCCTACTGATGATTCTGGGGCAGATGATTCTGATGCTAGCGATAGCGGTGATGAGAAAGAGGCAAGTGATTTTCGTTTACCTTTGTTATTTTTGTGATACTTCACCTTTACTCCTTAAATCAGCGGTCTTTCTGACACCTTAACAATGACCTATTTTCAGAAGCCTGCCAAAAAGGAATCAAAGAAGGATTTGTCTTCTAAGGCATCTACTTCTAAGAAGAAATCAAAGGATGCTGATGAAGATGGAAAGAAGAAAAAACAGAAAAAGAAAAAGGACCCAAATGCACCCAAGAGGGCAATGTCTGGTTTCATGTTCTTTTCGAAAATGGAAAGAGAGGTGTGTTATATTTCATACACATATTTGCTGTATGGTTTTGGATTTGGGGTGAGTTGTGAGTGGGAGTTTTATCATTTCCAATGTTTGGGTTTACAATGTCAGTTTAAGTTTGTATACTTAATTTTGCTCTTGATATTTTGGGGGAGAACATCAAGTTTCTTAGGTTGGGCTTGTAAACAAGAAAAATATTTACAAGACCAGCTAATAGGTAATGGGAGATCATCAAGCAAACCTGTCATTAATGTGAGCGAGCTTCAGAAAGAGTCTGGACTCATGCTCTGAACTCATTGTAGCGAAATATGCCCTTTAGCAAAATTGTTTATAGCTATCTTGGCTGTAAGGAATTACAATTTATGCCTGAAATGGCTGATTAGTCAAAGAGGGGTTTATATATATATATAAGTTGAGTTCTATTTACTTAATGTCTGGTATAAGTTTTCTTTTCTCTTTTAATGACAGAATCTAAAGAAAACTAATCCTGGAATTTCATTTACGGATGTGGGAAGAGTGCTTGGAGAGAAATGGAAAAAGATGTCAGGTATGACTGGTTGTCAATTGTTTCATTTCATGCAATTCCACCAGGTGTAATTCATGACCTGTGTCACCTGTGCTTATTATGTGTTGTGACCAATTTGTATATTTCTTTGCTTATGAATGCACAGCGGAAGAGAAGGAACCATATGAGGCAAAAGCACGGGCAGATAAAAAACGTTACAAGGATGAGATTAGTGGCTACAAGAATCCCCAACCAATGAATATTGATTCAGGAAACGAATCTGACAGTGCCTAATGCTGTCTTAATACCAAAAGCTATCCTGTCAGTTTCGTTTGAATGCAGTTTTATAGTTATTGTCATGATATGCAGCAAATGTAAGTCATGCTTTTGTGATATTTCTTACTGATGATGGCATCCTCTCAAATGGTGAATTGACGCAATTTTATGCTCTTTGGGATGGCCTGATCACTTGTGAAGTCACTGGAACGTGCTCAAGAGTTTTGTGCCCTGGGTTTCAAACATTTTGTTTACTTGCTTTAGGGAAAGTGGGGGAGGGATGAGCCTGCTGTGTTGACTAGGTAGCAGTGCCTAATTTAAATTAGGGATGTGTTTGTAACCCAATCTGCTAAAATAGAATTTTAAATATTAACTCAAGTCTACTTCATTGCTTTTTGTTCATGTCGGGTTTGCAGCTGTTTAAATGATAGCTAAAGCAGAAGTTGATTACTTACGGAGAATTTTAGTTCTGTGACGTTTATTAAATGTCTGACGCCGACCATCCAGCAGACTTGTAAATGTAATTTTAGTATTTTAGGACCAAACAAATAAAAATAAAGAAACCTTGTTTTTTACGTGTTTGTGACGAGTCCAGTTTTCTATTTCGTGTGTAACCCGTGTGTTCTGCGGGGACTCTTATATCTGCTTCAAAGTAATACTTAACTAATTGCTTCAATACCGCCGCATTGCCAACTTTTTAGACTGTTGATTTTAAAAAACAAAAACCCTATTTATTGTAAATTCTTGTAGCAGGGCATATTAAGTTAAAGCAAGTCTCACTTCCTATTCAGGTGTTGAGTCTTATTCTTTTTTTATTTTATTTTTTAACAATGGTGGTTATAAGCCAAGCCTGTGGATATATTTCCTGGATCTTGTGGTTGTGAGGGACGATTTGTTTCACTTAATCATCCACGCATTTCCTATTGGCTGGCTCGCTCATAATGGATATTCGATAGGCATTAATAGAATAAACCCTATATCACTAAGAGGAAAAAGAAAAGAAAATCAATTTCGTAATCTTGAAATTAATATAGTTTTGCTTAAAACATTTTTCCAAGTTCAGGAATTTGATCCACAGGCAACCCAGCCTACACGAGCAGCAGCAGCAGCAGCCGCTAGAAGGAAATCATTGGCATAATAGCAAGTTTTGTTCGAGTATTCCCTTCAGTTCCATGTTTCTGAGTTACTTTTGGATTTTGTCCGAGTCTCTGGATACGCGTATAACAGTCCCTTCAGTTCCATAAAAAGATTATACCTGCATTAATTTTTTTTAATTATTCTCGGTGGTATATGAATAAACGTGGATACAATAATCGTGTTTTCTCTACTTCCTATAAAAAAAAAAAATAAACCTGAATCTAAACATATATTATATAGATCCTAAAAAGAAGTTGAGGATTAGAAATATAGTAATCGTGTTTTCTCTGCTTCCTATAAAATATAATTAAAAAAAAAAAAAAAACTCCCAGTTGTGTATGGAAGCTTAAATGACTTGGGTGAGTCATATCTCTAATGTTCGATTCTATTAAAATAATCAGAAGTTAGTTAATTATAGACCATAGTCATGAGTTTACAAAATTAGTATTAAAAATCACTTGTTTATTAAAGTTGCAACCTATGCTGATTAAAATGTCCCAATTTCTCTTCCCAAGTCCTTTTTGCCCAGTTCTAATAGACGATAAACAAGTTTAACATCTCTGTATATATAATATGAAAGTGAATCCTGTGTCTCTCTATATATAAGATGACTTTGTTTATATTCAGCAGAAAGTGTAACACTTGTGAGAGAGACTTAATTATTAGTACTACCAACACATTATAATTTGAATAATTTTATCTTTATATGAAATTAAAAAGATATATTATATATCAGTCTTGAGACCAAAGAATTAAAACAAGGCTGCCAAGTGTATAAAAATATATGATCCAACCTCGGTCTAAAGGAGTGCGTTGTGCAACCCTCCGGCACAAAAGCAAATATATAATGTTGACTGTCGAAAAAGTCAACCCAATAACGTATAGCCAAACTTAGTAAATTTGGAAATTGCAATACTTGGACAATAATAAATCAAAGAAACTAATTATAAAATTTATTGGTTATACTTAGTCAAGTGAAAACACCGTTATTTCCTGCTAGTCTAAATCTGTTAGAACGTTTCTTAACTAAGTTTGCGTGATATTGTTACTTTGGAAACAGAACGTGTGGCTATTTTTTCTGTTACTAAATTTAGACACATACCCTTTAACCTTTCAAGGGCAACCATCATTATTTAAGCATGTCTATTCTATTTTATTGAGGAACTCACCCCAAGCACTATGATACGAGCCAAAATAACTTTTTTTTGATTGGTAGAGGATTGCCAAGGTCTTGTTATTCTAACTTCAAGTGCTTAACTTAAAAAATCCCAAGACCTTGGGCAAGATTCCCATTTAAAAGAAAGATATAAAAGGGCATAACCAGCCCGGCTCATAGCAAAAAAAGAAAAAAAGAATAAAAACCAAGTCTTAGACATGGAAAAAATAATGGTGAAAAGTGCAACCAAGGTTGCTTTCATCTTCTTGGTTACTTTAGCCATTACCATTCCATGCCTTGAGGCTGGCATTGGTGAGTTTGATGATTATCTCAAAGTTCAATCCGAGGAAGCCCGACAACGTGCTCTTGAGTCCTACGTCCCAGACCCTGAAGCTGTTACTCAAGAACTTAATTTTCATGTTCATTTGTACGTATTATCATATCTATTCTTTTTTTGTATTAACATGCTATTCAATTAGTAAAAAAAATATAATTTTATTAGATAATTTATTAAAATTTAAATTTAGCTCTTCAACGAGTGTGATGTGATTCACCTAGTTATAGAACAATTATACTTTTTAGATCTTAAAATTTACACTCAACTTTATACCTCTTTATTTTTTCTCTCTCTCTTTTTGTTCATCACCTTTATCACTTTTTTTTTTACCTTCTCTACCAATCTCTCTCTTTCCTTTGAGGGTGTGTGGGTGTGAAAAATTTATTTTTAATGCATTTTACAAATCATTTTTTTTTCAAAACACTTCTAGTGAAATTTTAATTATGAGGTATTATGTGTACAAGATAATCTAATCCAAGAAGAAAGATTTCAATCACAATTGAGCACTAACTAAATCAAATGAAAAGTTAACATTTATGGCACACTTCTCAAGAACTAATAATATCAAAATCTCAACTATATACGAGTAACTAGAGATGAATGGTTTAAATTACATTTCTAGAACAATTTGATGTAATGTAGGGCAATGGAGAAATTGGAGAAATTGGAGGCAGCAAACAGCACACTTAGGAGGGAACTAAGGCAGAAACCTAAAAATAACAAAGTATGTGAGGCCACCAACCCCATTGACACTTGCTGGAGGTGCGACAAAGATTGGGCCAGTAATCGTTTTAAGTTAGCTGAATGCGGCAAAGGGTTCGGAAGAAGGGCCACTGGTGGGCTTGGTGGGCCCATCTACGTTGTCACTGATGAATCCGATGATGACATGGAGAACCCACGACCTGGGACTCTCCGTTATGGTGTTGTCCTAAAGGGCCCAGTGTGGATCATATTCCAACGTAGCATGGTCATTACGTTGAAGCAAGAATTGATGGTTTCCTCGGACAAGACCATTGATGGTCGTGGGGCCAATGTTCAAATTAGAGATGGCGCTGGCATCACTTTGCAATTTGTTAGTAATGTCATCATCCATGGTATTCGCATTAAGAACATCTTATCTAAAGAAGGTGGCATGATTAAGGACTCTTATAACCATATTGGTCTAAGAACTAGAAGTGATGGTGATGCCATCTCCATTTTTACGGCTTCCAACCTTTGGATCGATCATGTTTCCCTCTCTAACTGTGCTGATGGTCTTATCGATGTTATCCAGGGTTCCACTGCCATCACCATCTCAAATTGCCATATGACCAAACATAACGATGTAAGTAGTTATATTGCATGTTGTTATAATAATAATAATAATAATAGTTAGGTGCATGTCAAGTACTAAATTCACCTTTTACAACAATAATTATCAAATATTGCAAGTTAATTGATTGGTAATGTTAATTTTAAAGATTAAATTAAACTACAATTATCAAAGTTAAGGATTAAATTTATTTTTGTTAGACATCAATTAAATACTAAATAGAATTGTGGTGCCAATTCCAGGCATGAAATTGATGTTTACATATTTACTAATAGTTAACTAATATCAGTAATATGTAACAGTAGCTTGCATGTTAACTATTAAATTGGCATACATGCATGCAATGGTTAATGTTTGATGAGCTAATGAATGGAAATATATTATATTGCAGGTGATGCTTTTTGGAGCTAATGATCAACACAGTGAAGATAAGATCATGCAGATAACAGTGGCATTCAACCACTTTGGCCAGGGATTGATTCAGAGGATGCCTAGATGCAGATTTGGTTTTGTGCATGTTTTGAACAATGATTACACTCACTGGATGATGTATGCAATTGGTGGTAGCTCAGGACCTACCATTCTGAGCCAAGGCAATCGCTTCATTGCTCCTAACAATGATGCTGCCAAAGAGATCACACATAGAGACTATGCATCACCAGAAGTGTGGAAGAATTGGCAGTGGCAATCAGAAATGGACTTGTTCATGAATGGTGCCAAGTTCACTACTTCAGGAGCACCCATTAAGATTTCATACAACAAAGGTCTCATCATGAAACCAAGAGATGGTGCTCATGTCAGCAGGCTAACAAGACATGCTGGTGCCCTCAGTTGTGTTGTTGGCAGGCCTTGTTAGATATATTAGTTATGTGTTTTTATTATTCTATCTTTGTAATTTCTTTCAAAAACACACACACACCCTCCACAAGATATATGATAACCCTCTAGGATATTTAATGCATTGGTTCTTCTTTATCAATTGGAGGATGTTGTGGCCTTGTAAGAGAGCAAGAAAGTGATTTTGTTCTTGGATTTCAACTTTGAAGAAATAAAAATGAGAAAAATCACAATTTATCCGCTTCTTTATTTGTTTTAATTCATTTTCAGTTATACTTTTTGATATGGCTCTATGTATTTTCCTAAAAATTATTGTAAAAGAAGTAACTTAGTTTTAAGTACTGAAATCTAAACCAGATGACTCCTTAGGTTCGGCTGTGTAACCTATGCAAATAATTTATGTTTCGTATTATATATAATTTATTTTAGATAATTTGTATTCAGCTATTCCTTATATAGTAAAAAGAGAAATGCTAATAGTATGTCTTTTAAATATATTTTTAATACATTTTTTGTGATTATTTATTTTTAATAAAATCAAAATATATTCAAATGATCATGCTAATTTTTCTCATAATTAATATTAATGTACAAGGTTAGCATAGATACTTGTACCGACAAAACAAATCGACTGTAGTAGGATTAGTCACACCCTCAAAGGCTTAATCATACTGTAAAAGGAATCAGTACTCGAATATATAATTCACAAAGATTCGAAATAAGATTTCAAGTGCTCGTTTTTATACAATGCAAATATTACTAAAAATAATAATATTTTTATATTATATAATTAAAAATATTAATTTTATTATAATTATTTTAAATTTATATTTAAAATATTTTATAATTAATTTTTTTATATTAATAGTATATCAAATTAAACACTTATTATTATTATTTTATACTAGTGTAGCAATTCTTTTCCCAGTCATTATCACGAAGGAAGCAGTAGAAAGTGATTCCAAGTTAGAGTTCCAACTTCCAAGCAACCTCTATCATACTCAATAAAAGTAAGGATATTTGACTTAGTAAAGAATAGCTTAAAATATGTCAGTTGTGAATGCCTACTCCCTATAACAAAAGTTAAGGTTTTGATCATTTACTATCCCTTCTTTAAGGTTAGATAATGAGCAAAAAGTGAAGTCTCAGGTGTGAAGGTTGTTGTCAAGGACCTTAGCTTATACATTTACCTTTATAATTTCAATAGTTGAGTGTGCTAGTTTTTTCTTTTTGTTTTTTTTTACGAGATGTTCTTTATTATATATGTTTACGAAAGTATATAACTTGAAAACTTTTCAAAGTAATTTGTTTTTCATATATGTATCATTAAAATAAATTCAAAGAATCACTTAAAATAGATAAGCACCAACATAAAACAGTAATATTAATTATTTCTATAAACAATAAACAATTAAATAGCATGTTTTGATTTCACATTAGAAAGCAAATGAATGAAATATTTACCTCAACTAGCTTATTTTTCAAAATAAGCAAATGTTTTTCAAAATTGAGATATGCAGTTTTGATTAAAAAATTAGAAAATATATATGATTTTTTTTTTCAAGATTAGAAATATATACCTCAACTAGCTCCAAAACTTCTTAAAAAGGTGACTCCACAAAACTTTTATAAACATGGTCCTTGTAGCTTCAAATCAGACTTTAGTTAAAGCAAACCAATTATAGATTACTTAAACTAACTATTTTTTTTCTTTCTTTTTTGGGTCTAAGATAACCTGTTTCTTTGAATGGTCTAACACATAACACTGCTTATGGTTTTATTTTCCCCACTCCCACTCTAGACATATTCTAAAATGTAAAGTAGGGAAGCCCTATAAGAATGTGAGGGTCCATTATGCCAAGATACATAATTGGGCAAGGCATTTAGCATCTAGACTAGACTAGGGAGGACCTCAAATTGGCCCAACCAACAGCATATGATGATGACCTGTGCAATTGTTTTGGTGTATGAACGTGTTTCCGTCAAGTAATTTAATTAATTCTTTAGGTTAAGAAGGATTTGTTTAAATTATTTTATGAGATGAATAATTTTATTTAGATGTATTGATAAAATTAAGATACAAATATTAAAATTTGTATTCGTTTGTGTTTTATTTTATTTATAAAATTTCATTAATTAATTTAAGATGAGATTGTTCATCTTAAACAAATCCTATAAATAAATGTTTGTAATGCTTCTTTTAAACAAATAAGCTTAGTTAATTGGAAACATAAGTTTGCCTAAGTTTCAGATAGATAAGTTGACTATCAAGAATGAGATGTCAATTCAGCGTGTAAAAATTAATTTTACCAATTTACTAACAAAATGGATTATTTGAAAAAAAAAAGTGGTAGATTGTTATAATTAATAAATAAATTATTCCCATTTTAGTTAAAATTAAAGGAAATTATGCCTATTTTTTTCTCCTTAAAAAAAGACCCCTATAATATACATATGGGCTATAAAAAGAAACTGATGACTCTAAAAAGTTAAAAATATATCTCAAAAGAAGAAAGAGAAGAAAAAATAAAAGGCATGCCTACAAAATAGGCAAAGGGCTTTAAAGAATGTACAAGGTTATAAGTAAATAATTTGGTTAGAAAATACTATTATAAGTCAAAAGCTTCTTATACAGCACCTCCTAATCCATGGTTTCGAGCATATAAATTAGTTGGCAAGTATTGTACTCTCGCGTTCAAATTCTAAGTAAATGTAACTGTGTTAACTGCTTAAAGGAAAGGTTTTGCCATTCATAATAATCATATCCCATTCAAACAAAATTACTTAAAAAAAAAACTTATAGTTTATGTAAAAACATATATATGCACCTGCTTATTTTATTAATTTTTTTTATAAATTATAACTATAATTTTCTTAAAATGAGTATAGTTTGTTAACAGATATTAACTATATATATTGGATTCAAATCCACTTTAATTCATGCAAAAACTTTTGTTGAGAGAGAAAATAAAAAAGAAGTAAGACAAAAGTGAAAAGTTGAGAGAAAAAGAACAGAAATGTTAAGTGATAATAGTAGAAGAGGCTAAAAAGAAGAAAAAGATGAAGGAGAAGAGATTTAAGAGAAAATCATGTTTTCATATTAATCTACCCATATATATTATTATACAACATTACTAATATAATATGAATTTTATTAACTTCAATTGTAACAGTTGAATTTAAGTATCCACAAATAAAAAAAAATTTATAAAAAAAATATATAATTATTATATTAAAGTTATAAAAAATAATAAATATATTTTTTTAAAAAAATTTACTATTATTAACCATTTATCTTCCGCCTTAAAAGTTGAGGCTAACAAATTTTATATAATATTTATTTATTTATTTTAAAGAAGGAATATGTTCATAACTTATAATTTTAATTTTTTTTTAAATACACTTAAGTATAACATGTTAAAATATTTTTTTTGAAAAAAATAGATCAACCATGCACACATGTAATGAAAAAAATTGTCATATTATATAAGAATTATAAATATAAATATGTAATTATGTATAAATAATTAAAATTAAAAATTATGTAATCACTTAAAATATTTGAATATTTATCTTTAATCTTCACAGTTGAAATAAACTAATTTTAGTGGAAAGAAAAATTAATGCTAGACACCAAAGGAGTTTGTAAAAACGACCTTTTCTTATCCAGACAGCATAAAACAGATTAGAGGTCAAGATACCTGAAAACTGGCAACTTTTCATATTCCATGCTTCTTCCTCCAAAGCTATAGATATCCATATAAATACTATTTAATTAACAATTTTATTTTTGCTTTGTACGGAATATTTTTAAACTTTTAAAATATAAATAAAATATGAATTTTTTTTATTAATCATAAATATTCTATGATTAATAAATATAGATAAATAATGAAAATATATATTATTTTATGTATATGATACATCAACATATATTGAAGATTTAAAAGTCATTTCAAGTTAAAATTGTTAAGATTATAATAATTTTAAAGTTTTGTTTATTGAAAAATAGATTTAATTTTATATACTGTATTAATATTTTAAATTTTAAATTTAAATAAATTTAGCATTAAATTTAAGTAGTGGCATGTAAAATAAAAAATACAAATTAAAATATGAAATTAAATATTTTATGCAAGAGAAGTCATATGTAAGAATAATTCTTAGAAACACTCTCACAATGAAAACTTATGTTTATAATAAATGGGTGAATAAATTTCTCAAACAGATGTTAGCTATTTAAAGCATAAATGTATTGTGTAAATCATTTAAAATATACTATGATTAGAAAAATGAGTATAATTGTACTGAATTTAAACAATGCGTCCAACTCCAAGTATCTTTAATCACTTTATTCTTTGTTTTGAGATTTCTTTTGTAATTTAAAACTCTAAAGCTGTTAATTAAATAATTTATTATTAATATAAAACTTCATTGAAAACATTAAAGCCTTCAATTGTGGATTAATAGTTAAGTTGTGATCGTGCGATCTATGAACATAGGAGCATTTTCTTTTCTTTGATGTATGCCCTTTGATTAAATGCTGCAACATTGAAGAATCCTCCGACTGATACACAAATGGAAAAAAAAATAATCGTTAAAATTATATAACATTTTAGTATAGTCATGACTCGATTTAGATAAACTTTCAACAAAATCTTTATAAAGGAAATAATTTTATTTTATAAATTAAAAACAAATTATGTTCTTTTATTATTTAATAATTTTTTTATATGTGCTCTGCAAAATAATTATCACAGGAAATTTTATATTAAACATGTATGATAGATGGTGAGAGTTAGTATTTAATTTTAAAAAGATATAAATATATTTTAATTTTTAAGATATTAAAAGAATTACAACCATCAATTTAAAAAAAATATATATAATATTTTTTTTAGTTTATGGGTATAGTAGAAATTTTATTTATTATATATATATATATATATATAAAATTTATCCAAATTAGACCAGTATAAAGATAGGCTTATTGGATTGGTTTTGTTAAGAGAGAATTTTAACTAAAATAGCAGGATTACAATAACTGGATAACTTTGAAAAATGATGCTTAACATATTACTAAGATCATAAGATGGATTTGAGTTTTGCATTCTGATACAAAGATAACTAAAGAAAGAGGTGATGACTCTTTTTTGGAGGAAAAAACATCTCACTGTGGAAAGCAAATTCCCTGCTGGAACACATATTCTTACACTTTTCATCAAAATTAGGAAATTATTCTTCACATTGTTCTTAACCATCTCCTTCATTACTTCACTTGCAATTCACTTCTTTATTCTTCTCTGCATTGAAAAGTTTCTCTATGTGGAAAATTGGGCACTTGAATTTACTTTTATCCTTGCCATTGGTAAAAAATAAAGCAAAAATTAATCTTTCATAATCATCTAGGATTTATGAATTTTGGGTCAGCATGAAATTGCAAAATCTTATATGTGTCTCCTTTGCCAAAGAACCTATGAACCTAAAGACATGTCAAGATCAAAATCAGAATCTATCTTTTGTTGCTCGTGTAGACATAAATGCCCTTACTTTTATGCATTGATTATTATTCCTTTTTGATCGCATAGTTATAAAACCATGATATCCCCCCAAAAAATCGTTTAGATTCACTATTCAGGGAAATAAACAAAGGCTTGTGCGCATCACAAACATGCAGTTATCAGTTTCAGGGCATATGGAATTTGTTTATTGCGCATTGTAAAAAGCCAATTTAGCAATTTCAAATATCCTAACAATATCTCGTATATTGTACATGTATTTTTAAATGTAAATAAAATATTAAAATATGAATCAGAAAACAAAATCTTAAGACAATTATAAAACAATTTTATCAACCTCAAACTTTGGGACGAGTTTAAACATAAAAAATAGTAGTTTTATTTTTAAAAAATATTATATTGAAATATAAAAGTATAATTGTTTTCGAATAAAATTTTATTACTTTTAGTATTTAAACTCAACTTTAAAGTTTTAAAGTAAAAAAAAATAAAAAATCAACCATGAAAAATAATGCTTTAATTTTTTTTTAAAAATTGTTTATTACTAGACTTGAAAATATCCGGTTACAATAAATGTTGATAGATGAAATTGAAGTATAGAAGACTCACTCTCAAGAATGAGTACTCAAATTTTATAGGTGTAGGGTAGCATAAATTAGGGTATAAAGAAAAAGCTGAAATTGGCAATCAAATTGGCAAAACAAGTCCTTCTTTTTCCATTGTTTTGGCTGAGAAAAGCAGGAGGCCATAATAGAGAGAATAGAGAAAAGCTTGATAGGTCACTATGAAGAAGCATCTTACAAAATAGATTATTCTATTGTAGTAATTCAAAATTCAACAAAGTAGCCTAAAAAGCATGTAGGAAAGCATATTATAAGCTGTAGATGTCCTAAATCTTTCAATAGTTAGGCACCATGATTTCCTTAGCCGATGTCTATCATGTAGTGACAGCCACTGTCCCATTATATGTGACTATGGTTCTTGCTTACATCTCTGTTAAATGGTGGAAACTCTTCACCCCTGAACAATGTTCAGGCATAAATAAATTTGTTGCCAATTTCTCAGTTCCAATTTTGTCATTCCAAGTGATTTCTTCCAACAACATTTACAAAATGAGCCTCAAACTCATATATGCTGACTTTGTTCAGAAATTGCTTGCATTTCTAGTCTTCATAGCAATCATTAAGATCACTGCCAGGGGAGGTTTAAAGTGGATCATAACTGGTCTCTCATTGTCAACACTTCCCAATACTTTGATCCTTGGAATTCCACTCATGAAGGCTATGTATAGGGATGAAGCTTCTCTTCTCCTCCCTCAGATTATTTTCCTACAAAGCATGGTATGGTACAATTTGTTGTTGTTTCTTCATGAATTTGATGCTGCTATTCCTGCAAGGACCATGCCTGCTGCACCACCATCTGAAGGCACAGGTTAGCATTTAGATTTTGCTTGTTTACATGTTAAGGAAGGAGATTTAGTGTGTGTTTGGAAACACATTAAAAAAACTGTGGACGTTTGATTAAACGCAGAAGTAGTAACTAGTAGCGTTGAAGTAAACGTGAATCTATGGCTATCTAAAGGTGAATCCAAACACGCACCTAGGGGGTGTCGGTAGAGTGGGAAATGGAAGAGTGAAGAAAGACAAGGCACATGAAAAAAATATAAGTTCATATAAATTCTTTATTTTTCTTCTTGCTATTTTTACTCTTACCTTACACAGCCTAATCCAAAACTGATTTTGATTTACTTGGTGTTTGATGTAATACCCTTTCTTCATTTTTAAATTATGTATTTAACTTCCATAAATTATTCTTTTTCAGTCAACTGAAGTAATCAAAGTGGGGCCAGATCATATTTTAAATTTCTCTCTCTTTTCTATTCCTTACTTTCTTTCTTTCTTCAGTTTGATTCTATTTGAATACTTATTCCTCTGAAATGCTATCAAAAGTTGACAAACTATCTTATTGCCATTGCATCAAATTAGTTAAACTATACCCTCTGTCATTAGAATGTATGTGCTTCATGTTAGAATATGGTACAAATTTAGATACAAACTGATATTATATGGTGGTACATACATTATTGCAATGGAAGTGGTGTCATTAATATTTTCTCTTGTTCTTGCTTATTGCTTAAAGGAGATACTGAGACTTCTCAGGAAGTAGAATCAAAAGAAGGAGAGGAAGGAACAGAACCTAGAACACAAAGGAAAATGAGGATCTTGATCATTCTTATAAAAGTGGGGAAGAAATTAATCATAAATCCTAATACCTATGCTACTTTCATAGGTCTTATTTGGGCAAGCATACACTTCAGGTAAGCACACTGAAGAGTAACGAACTCTTATGTCACATCTCACTCAAGTCATTGATAGAAATTATTATATATTCCATAACATAAGGTGAGAAATAAGGATAATTATGTAAACCTATTGCAGGTGGGGAGTAGATATGCCAGATGTTGTTAAGCAATCAATAGAAATATTGTCCAGTGGAGGTCTTGGTATGGCAACGTTCAGCTTAGGTAAGAGAATGGATCAATATGTTAAGAACTAATGAAAATAACAATCAACTTCCAGAGTTGGATTAAATAATTCTTGAATGAAATTTCAACAGGTCTATTTATGGCATCGAACTCCAGCATCATAGCATGTGGACCAAGGATGACAATGGTGGCAATGGGACTAAAATTTCTAGTTGGACCTGCCATAATGGCTGTAGCCTCCATTGTGATTGGATTAAGAGGTAGAATGCTCAAAGTGGCAATTGTTCAGGTAATCATTTCTTTTTTCTGTACTCCTTTTCAGGAACTAATTTCAGTACTTGCATGGTGCCTTCTTCTTTGATACTTGATACTTTTAATTTGAGTAGTTCCCCCTTTATCGATTTTGTCCACTTCATTCCTAAATGTTGAGTTTAAGCATAAAAAAGAGGTTAACTTTTTCTGGAAGAGGAATTATTTATTATGTCGAAAAAGGAAAAAGATTTTATATTCAAAATATTAAAGTTTATTATTTTTAAATACTTAAACTCTGTCTAGGTGGTCAAGGTTAACAAAACTGTATTATTATTCTAAAATACTGAAATTTTTAACCCTTTTGATATCACGGGAAGGTATTTGATATTGTATGATTTTGCATCTGTAGGCAGCTCTACCACAAGGAATTGTTCCCTTTGTTTTTGCTAGAGAGTATAATGTCAATCCAGGCATTTTAAGCACTGGGTAAATAGTACTTCTTTGAATTTCTCTATGATTAACTTTGCATATAACCTGACTAAGATTAGACACTTCTCGTTTTGGTCACAGGGTCTTGCTAGGAATGCTCATTGCTTTGCCAGTGGCAGTGACATACTATGTTCTCTTATCCCTCTGATTCACACTACTATGTTAAATATATACTAGGACCAGTGACAATGGAGTTGCTTTAGTGTAAAACTAACAATTTACATAGTTGTATATTGTCAGTATTGATTCATATTTAGAAAAAGAAGATCAAATATATTTATAACAAATTGTACAAGTAGAAATATTTACAGATTTTGCAACTGTTCATTCAACAGAGAAGAAATAAAGCACTTCTGCGTTCATCATCTGACTTATAAATACAAATACATAGAAATAAAACATAATAATGTCTCTGAGTCGCTGAAAATTAGAAACCAATAACCAATACAAGAAGGGAGAGAGGAAGGTATCTACTGACTCCACGAATTAATCTTTTTAACTTATTTCACTTAATAATTTTTATACAATAAAATTTATTAATCTAACTGTTGAAATACAAATTATCTTCATAATTATATATGTCAAAATTTAGGCAAATTGAACATTTACGGATATGTAATTTTATAGTTGATATTTTTGTACGTTAAAATAAAATTATTTAATAAAAAATTAAGTAGTTTTTAAAATTTTGTATACTAAACATACTTATTGAAAATTTTTAAATTAACAGGTGAATTAATAAAATTTGTTATGGATAAAATGTGGTTAAACAAAATAAATTAGCTAAGATTTATTCTCACACTAAGTAACAATTTGCTTTGATTCCTAAAAGCCTCCATCTATACAAATTGATTTCCAAAGTTGCCAACTTGCTAAAAAGTTCATCCACTCGAGTGCCAATTTGTATATGTAAAAACTCCAGAAAACCAAGACAGCACAAGAAACGTCTTTCAAGATTGAAATCATTTATTTACTCAATATATATCATCTGTGAAAAGTGATAAAGAAAGGTTATGGATGATGCATTTACACAAAATCTTTATCTAATAATATGAATCAAGTTGCCAAAGAACTGTATTATAATTGCAAAGAAACATTAGCATGGAAGTAACTGCACACGGCAAGATTACAAACAAAACTTCACTTTTTGCCAGCTAGTCTTGTTCTCTATCCAATATGTTTGAAAAGATCCAGCTTTTCTTCCCTTTTCAAATTCATAATGCAAAGTTATTTTGCAAAGCTCTGCACTAGTGTTTGTGGATATTATAATGCAATACAAACATCACCCTTAGTAATGTAACTCATTAGAATATTCATCTAACAAGTAGTATTCTCCATGTTTGATATCTCAAGAAAAGAATATTAATAATATATTTTTAATTATTAACTAAATTTTATTAAAAATTATAAAAACATAAGAGAAATATTAAATTGAAAGTAAGACTCCATAAATGTTATTAAGAGTGTGTTAAAAATAGTGTATTATTAATATTTCTCTATCTTTAAGATCATAACAATATTATTATCAAATTGTCAAAAGCAAAGTTTTTAATAAATAATTATACTAAAAATTTGAGTTTTAATTGAGTTTAATAATACCATATGATTTATGCAACTGACTTTACTTAATAGAATAATGTTTGATTGTTGTTATTAATGAAAGTTATTAAGCGTTAATCACAATTAATAATTTCTTTTCAATTGAATTTGCAAAATTCACTAAATTAACCATGCATTGTAGAATAGTGGTCATACAAGTACGTGAACCAGCCATTTGATTTTGTTGTTTCAATGGTTAATTAGGTTACAAAAAATTAATTAGATTTCCAATCTTCACTCCATCCATCCTCAATTGGAATCAAAAGCAAAAGAGAGAGAAAAAAAAACTAGAATATAATACTGTGTGAGTTGGGTGATAGCTAGTGCATTGTTACTGTCACTATGTAAATGACAATTCAGTGATGTAATACACTATGCATGAGCAACCAAATTTCTTAATTTTTCCAATTGAAAATAAAATATAGATTTTTCTGTCAGTGTGTCATTCAATTACTGCTTCAAGTTAGTGATGTGAAAAAGAATTTGCTTATATATAGCATGACACTTAACTAAATTATTAGTTACATTTCAAACTTCAGTTAGTAATAGTAATTAGATAGTAGAACAATTTTTTAATTAAAAGATTGAGAAATTTAATGGTTGCATAAAAATTAACAAGAAACCAAAGTCGTCTATTGAGCTTAGTATAGATATTACAAGTATTTAAAAAGATAAAAAAAAAATACTATAAATCATTTTACTTATTCCGAATGCAGATAATAAAGTATATTGTATAAAATTTGAGCTTAACTTAACATCTTTTTAATGTGTCTTAGAATAAATTTTGATTTATAAATTAATTTAATTTATTTCTGAAGGGTTTTTATAACTAATATCTTTATACAGCTAGACATGTAATATATTTCATTTGCTTAAAAAAAATAATAAATATCTTTCCGAAGTTAAATGTATTAAATTTCTTAATTTCTACTTAATATGTTTTAACTTTACGGAAAGATTCATCTTAGATGGATCATCAAGGGAAAAAAAAATCACAAAATACTATTCATTTTTTGTTCATCAATTCAAAGATAAGCTATGTTAAAAAATTATAAATTTTGCTCATTTCTCTTAATTATTTTAAGCGTCATTAAATAGGCTCTACACGTTCACGAGGGTTCCACCATAGCTTGGAGCAAAAGAAATTAGTGAACGATTTTTCGGTTTGAAATTTTCAAAGTAAATTAAATTCAACCGTAGCATTGTAACTTGGAGCAAAATAAATTCTTCCCTTGAAATTAACATCCAAAATTTATATCAATCTGACGGTCACAAACTATCCATACCCCATTTCATTTCCAAATCCAACGGTCCAAATCTTCTCTCCCTGAGAACCCCTTCCCCCAAATAAAAAGAAAAAGAAAAAATCCATTTTCTGAAATTAGGGTTTCAGCTTTCAACTACTACATATATTTTCTTTTCCCAAAGGAATTCACCGTTTTGCTCACACTTCTTCTTCTTCTTCTTCTTTCATTTCCAATTGTGTGTGAAGAAACCATGTCTAAGGGTCCTGGTCTCTACTCTGACATCGGCAAAAAAGCCAGAGGTTCTCTCTCTCTCTCTCTACACTCACACACACACACCCATTTCGATTTTGTCAGTTTTTGGGCATTTTTAAATAAAAAAATTAACTCTTTTCTTTTTTGTTTGTAGATCTCTTATTCAAGGACTACCAAAGTGACCAGAAGTTCACAATCACCACCTACTCACCCACTGGAGTTGTAAGTTTTATTTTTATTTTTTAAAATATTTATGCTATTTTGCTTCATTCTCAGGCTTGATTGAGTTGGATTTATTGCATTTGCTTTTGGGGTTTGTTTATTATTGGAGTTAGTGGGTGGTGGTGGTGGTGGTTGCACTGGAAGATTTGTGATTCAAGGGAATTTTGTGTTTTTGTTGTTTTTTGGGAGCATTGTTATTGTGAATTGTGATATCATTAACAGTGCTGTGTTGTGGGTTTATTATTCAAACGTGTGGGGCTTGGCTAGTTGCTTGGTGTTGATGCATGGTTGTGAGAATGGTACTAACTTTGGAATCATCTTCATCTATGTTTTGTGTATGTTGCTGCTTCAGGCTATAACATCCTCAGGGACCAAGAAAGGTGAGCTTTTTGTGGCTGATGTTAACACCCAATTGAAGAACAAGAACATCACCACCGATGTCAAAGTGGACACGGATTCTAATGTAAGTTCAAGGTTCTTGTTTGGAACGTTTTGCTGTTCTTCTTTGTTCTGTTTGGTGGTTGATATGTGCTTTACTACCCCTTTGAGGTGGGATTTTAGCAGGTTTCAATTTGTGGGTACATTTGTATTTTAGGTTAGAATATCAAATGGGGTCACTCCAACATTAAAAGTTGTCAAAAGAAATTGAGAGTTGATAATTTCATAAGAAATTCTGATGTTGATTATGTTGTAGAATTGAAATTGGGGGCTTTGTTTACATGCTGTCTGGAATTGAAGGGTGTTTCACTGTTTCTACATGTTCCCTTCCTTTTTTTAATGTCCATAGACGTATGTTATGTATTTATATATCCCTAGTATTCTTATTCATTCAATGCACAAGTATCATTTGGTCTGACTTTGATTTCAGCCAATGAGTTGAGATGGGTGGGCAACTCTTTTGGTCCCTTAATTTGTGTGCATATTTGATGATTAAAATTCATAGTTTACTGAAATATATAATGCTCAATTCTTAAACAGTTTTACATGTAAACATTGTGGCAATGGGGATATTTGAATAATTTTATTTGTATGATTTGTGCATTGTAGCCTGCCTGTTTTTTATTAAATCCAGTTACCAGTACCATGTCAGGCTGATGCCTATGTACAGCGATTGATGTTGAGTAATGTCAACCTAAATCATATTCTTCTTGCTGCTATCTCAATTTGCTTTTATCTTGTTTCCTATTCTATTACGATTATTCCACTAAAGTTGTTAATGCATCTGCATTCCAGCTCTTCACAACCATCACTGTTAATGAGCCTGCTCCGGGTCTCAAGACTATTTTTAGCTTCAGAGTTCCTGATCAAAGGTCTGGAAAGGTGAGTTGAATCAATCATTTTGCACCAGAAGCTTTGATTCTTCACATGAAAGCATGATTTACTAAATTTGCGATACAAACCTCCTGCAACAGGTGGAATTTCAGTACTTGCATGACTATGCTGGAATAAGCACCAGCGTTGGATTAACAGCAAACCCAATTGTTAACTTCTCTGGTGTTGTAGGAACTAATGTACTTGCCCTTGGTACTGATGTTTCTTTTGACACCAAAATTGGGGAGTTAACAAAATTCAATGCTGGATTGAACTTCACCAAAGATGATTTGATCGCGTCATTGACTGTGTGAGTAATTGTTGTCCCTTTCCAAGAGGATGTTTCTTATTTGAAGCGTCAAAATTTATTTCATTCCAACTTCTACAAGTAGACTTTACATGTGGGAGATATGGAATTTTTAAATTAATCTTGAGCTTGAATTGCTTACAAATGACTAGGAGAAAAGTGCTATTGTAGTTTCCTAATGCTCCAGAGCTGATTAGCAAACCTTGTGAAGGTTCATGAACATAGCAGTTTTTTCTTTCCTCTTTTTCTTTTTAGTTTTTGTTTACAGCTAACCTTACCTAGTGAGATAAGGCTTTGTTGTAGGATTTATGTATTTGAGTATACTTTATAAACTCTCTTAGGTATGTGTTTGAACTGATTGATTGTATGAGCTTACATGTTTGGTGATGCGATGAATTCATGTATGCAGAAATGACAAAGGTGATGCCCTGAATGCTTCATACTACCATGTAGTCAATCACTTGACCAACACAGCTGTTGGTGCTGAAGTGACTCATAGATTCTCAACCAATGAGAACACCCTCACACTTGGCACGCAGCATGCATTGGATCCATTGACCACCGTGAAGGCTCGTGTCAACAACTTTGGCAAGGCAAATGCTCTGATTCAGCATGAGTGGCGTCCCAAATCATTCTTCACTGTTTCTGGGGAGGTTGACACCAAGGCCATTGAGAAGAGTGCAAAGGTTGGATTAGGTTTGGTTCTGAAACCGTGAGTAATTTTGAGGCATTCTGGCAAGGGCTTTGAGGTAGGCATTAGGAAAGAACATAGTTGTCTGTCAGACTGAATTGTTTTTTTGAGGTTGGTTCTCTTGGATGCAAGTGTTCATGATGCTTTGATTGGATTTTGAGCAACTCAACGTTGTATAAATAAGTAATAGGTTATTACTACAAACCAAATATTCATAAATCCTTACAAGATTTTGCAGATCTCTTTGTTGAACTGATGATTGATACTCATTATTGAGGTTGTTATCTGCAATAACCCCCTTTAGTGGTTTTTTTGTTTTAGGATCAAAACACCTTTTGCAGGGAAAGAAGTCAATTGCCCCATAATTAATTCTGGGTCTGAATTGTTTAAAATTGAATTTAATTGATTTCGATCAAATTAATTTTGGAATTGATGAATGTAATTGAGATGTGTGTTTAAAAGTAATTTTAATCATAGATTTATATTGGAAGATGTTTTTTTTTCACTAAAAGTTGTGAGATGATATTTTTATTGACAAAACAAAGAGCAGTATTGTTGGGTAAATCAGTTAAAATTGAATTTGGAAGAAGTGAACAGTTTTAGTTTTTCTGTTAAATTAAAGGTAAAATGCATTTGCACTTATTGTGATGTTTAGAGCAATTTTATTCGATGTTTCTTTTTAATACTATTTAAACTTTTTTTGATTCATTGTACGAGAAATTAAGGGAGTTCTGTATTATTATTGAAAAGGTATTTATTGTAAGGGGTGATTGTACTTTGTTTTAAGAGTAATAGATTTTTTGAGACTTGTTAAATATAATATTTATCATTACGAATGTGGTTTGTTTTCACCATTTGAACATAATTCTTTTCAACTTTTAAATCATTATTTTTTTAACTTAAATTCTTTCAATATTAATTTTATTGGAATTTATAAAAAAAAACAAGTCTTTATTCTGTCCTGCTTATTATCAAGCCTTTGCACCTGAAGAACAATAAATGTTTTCTTGTTGCTTTAACTTTTCATTGTTTGTAAACTGTTATCATTCTTGTAAATTTTATTTTATCTTCTTTTAGCTCAAGTTTTTTATATGATAAAATTTATTCTAAAAATGTATAAAATAGACATATCATTAGCTAAACAACAAAAAGAAAAAGAAGAATCCTAAAGATGGGTAGTGTGATCCCTTAGAATCACTCTGGTTTTCACTGTCAATGCGCCTGTCATTGTTTGCCACCATTTAAGCGAAAGTTATATTCTTTATTTTTTTTGGCTGTAAAGTTATTCTTCTGAATTGTGAAGTGACGAACTTTATATATATTGTATTTAATAGGGATTTTTATTTGTATACGATATTTAAAAATAACATATTAAAATATGAATTTTGAAAAGCTTCTATTGACAATTTTTGTGTAGAGATTTACAAATATAACAGCTAAAAATTAAAATAATAAAAATTATCATTGATAAATTTTGAAAATTTTTATTTTTTTAATATTGTTTAAAATTTCATATTTTAGTATTTAATTTTTTTAATATAAAAAAGTCTATTTATAATACAATTATAAATACTATGTGAAATGTACACACAATTTTAAATATTCAAAAATATTAGAGTAAGAATTACTTTACTTAAAAAGAGGTAAATAGTAGGTTTTCTATTTAATTAATACATATTTAAAAATTAATTCTTAAAATAAAATTTCTTTTAAATTAATTTCTTATAGAGTTATTTTTTTTTATGTCACAACTAGTATCGATCATGTACTAATGATAGCTTTATTTTTATTATTTTTTAATACTCTATTAGCCATTTTAATTCGATATCATTCCATTAAGTGACACGCGAAAATTAAAAATTAAAAATAAATAAATAATAATATCAGAAAAAAGATAACAATAGTTATTATTTTATTATTATTTTATATTATATCGGGTATATTTAGTCGATACTCACCCACTTTATGACACTTGTTGAGAAAGTAACAGTATCAGACATTAAAAGACAATAGCACTGTTCGTTGATCGTGATGCTTTATGTCTATTAGTCAACATGTGTCAGAGCAGATTGGATTATTTAAATATGGAGAGTTATTTCATTGGGGTAAAAACAAAAACATAGCATTTCTCTAGCAATCAAGAAATATCAAAATGTAGACAAAATTTTGAAGGTTAAAAAGAAGTACATCGGCAAGGACTTTTCTCTAGCCAATGGATAAATCAAATGCTTGGACTTGAAGAAGGGGTGTGTGTTAGAAGGGTTGTATATTTGCTCCCAAGATAATCATTGTGCAAAGGGTTTGTACCCATGATGTTAAGAAAAACCATGAAGGAAATGATTTGAATGATGAGTTGTGAGGACAAGCTTTTGTATGGTTTATTATCTGTCCTTGTTCTAGATGATTATAGAATAAACATTAACTTTTATTTGACTGATAATTTTTCTTTTTCTTTTGACGATCGTTATCCAAGATGGATGGATCCATTATAGACTTCATTCGTGTGTAGTTGACCATTCATATTGACCACTGACAACGCTATCGTCCTTTGATGTTTAAAACTGTTGTCTTTTTGACACGTGTCATAAGATGAGTGAGTATCGATCAAATGTAGTTGATAAAGTGTAAAATAATAATAAATAATGATTATCGTTCTCTTTTTTTTTATATTATTATTTTTTTTTCTTTTATTTTTTTTTCTAATTTTTAATTTTCACGTGTCACTTAATGGAATAGTATCAAACCAAAGTGGCCGATAAAGTATTAAAAAATAATAAAAATAAAGCTATTGTCAGTGCATGACCGATATTAGTAGTAACATGATAAAAAAATAGCTCAGACAAATAATTAGTTTGAAAGAAATTTTATTTTAGAAATTAGTTTTTAAATTAGTTTTTAAATATATATTAATTAAATAAAAAAGCCTAAATAGTGGGTATATGTGAATTACAGTAATTAATCATGAATAGCTTACATTGTCTCGAACAATGATTTTTAAATGAAAATTCATGTATTGTTGGTACCTTAGTCTTAGTAAGTTGATTGTTATATTTTATTCTTTCCATTAGCTTCTAAAAGTGGTTCACAAAAATAATCAAGCTTCAACAAGACCTTGTTCATCAAAATATTCATGATACTGCCACTACTTTTAGCCAATAGTTTATTATATTTGAGATTTGTAAGCTAGAAATGAACTTGAGACATAAATTAAAAGAAATGTTGGCATATATTATTTTAATGGGTATGTTAATATTAATTTTTAAAGTTAACTCTAAGTATTTAAATATAGTATTTTCTTTTTTTGTATTTTTAATATATCACCCTATATGTAATTTAAGATTTCTATAAGCAATTTTACCATATAGTAGATGTCATTTAATGGATAGAAAATAGTTTCACATAGAAAGACCAATTTATAAACTTTTTTTCTTTTCTTGTGTGCAAAGAGTAAATAAAAAATTGGCTTATCCATTTTATTATATTTAAATGCGCGACTCTGGATTGGATCCAAATTAAATCAAATGGGAAACTAAAAATAAATAAATAAATAAAAAATTAATATAGTGCATAAGTTGGGTGATTCACTGAATTATAAGGAATAAATGACAAAAATTCATATGAAAATGTTTCCTTGTACAAGAACCAAACTAAAAATGAGAGTCATGAGAGAACCAAAATTTTAATTTAACCAAACAAGAAACATTAAAATTATCAAAGTAGTATATATCAGGCAATGTTTGTGAAAAGTTTACATTAGGAAATGCCTAAGCATCAAATTCCTTAAAATTAAAAATCACGAGGCACATTTTTAAGAAGCCGAGAGAAGTGAATCAATGTGCCGCGTCCAGGAAATAATAAATACAGAAAACTACAAATTTACACATTTTCTCACAAAATAGGACTGATAATAAACACAATATTTTGGGAAGTAATACGAATTTGACTGGCACAAGCAACTTGACTAAAAGTCTATCCTCAAGCAAACATGCAAAATTGCACATTAGCACTTAGGATATAAAATAATAAAACTAGACACAAGTGCTCAAACAAAAGCAGCATTTCCTGACAAAGCCTGATATGCATACTATTTGTTATTTACAATTCAGGAAACCGTAACTTATATCTGTGAAGCATTGGCCTGAAGTAAACCGTCCCGGATCTGCACAGCAATGTCCTTAACTGCACCAGGGCCATGTGGTATGAACACAGATGAGGACTTTGAAGATGCACCAATTTCTTTCATAGTGTCAAAATATTGAGTCACAAGCACCATGTCCATGACATCCTTTGCAGTTGTCCCAGGAACATTCTCAGAGAATGCAAGCACACTGTCCCTCAGCCCATCCACAATGGCCTGACGTTGACGAGCAATACCAAGTCCTGACAGATATTTGGACTCGGCTTCTCCCTCAGCTTTCTTGATCTGCAGTATTTTTTCTGCTTCAGCCTTCTCGTTTGCAGCCAACCTCAACCTAGCAGCTGATAAAATTGCAAAAAAGATTAGGATATAATCATAATGATAAATCAAAATTTATGTCATGCAAGAGACCTGTAAGAACATGGTGCAACATACAGAAGTTTGTACCGCAAAAGAAACAGTTAATGTTAAAATATAAAAAAATTCCAAATCCAAACTTATTTTATCAGAGAAGCTGTAATTTTTTTCACCAGAAACTAAACTCACATGCTTAAAGCTACTAACCAAACCATATTGCAAAAACATGCCTATACAAGAATGGAACTGCTCAATTTAAAACCAAGCAAAAACTAAAAACAAGTTGAGTAAAAAATCTGCATGCAAACCTTATGCAAGGAAGAGTAATTTGAAACAGGAAATTGCAAAAATAGATCAATGTTACATAGCAAAATGCTCTTTTATTAGGAACTAGAACATTAAGGTTCTATAACCTGACATGCAAAAATAGATCTGCGATACATAGCAAAGTGAAGTAAATATTACCTGCATTGATCTCATTCATTGCTCTCTTGACATTAACATCAGGCTCTATATCAACAATGAGGGTCTGGACTATCTCAAATCCATAAGTTGACATGGCCTAAAACATTAATGTTACATTAACTTGTTAACAACCTTCATGATCTACTGAAGAATATAAAGAGATAAAAGAGAAAACAAAGTGATTAGTAGAAAAGAATGAACACCTTCTCAAGCTCCTCTTCGACAGCCTTTGCTATATCATTCTTTTGCTCAAAGACAGAATCCAACTCCAGCTTTGGTACACTGGCTCTGATAACTGAAGAAAAGCAAAATATTATAAGCTTTAAAGAAGCCACAATTACAATTATGCTATAACACAATTATCAATTAATCTGTATGAATGCAATAACTGCATTGCAGGTATGTAGCATTTCAAAATAGAGTGAAGCAGAAAAGTCATACATACCATCAAAAACATATGATTGGATCTGCTCCCTTGTGTTGGTGAGCCTATAGAATGCATCAGATGCTTTCTCAGATACAGCACGGTATTGCACAGACGCAACCACAGTGACGAAGACATTATCCTAACATGTTAATGGCAGTCAAACTCTAACAACAGAACATAATAAATCACATAGGAAATGTCATTTACATTTAGAACGAAATGTATTTTACAGTATCTTTTTCAACTTAAGTAAAAATGATATATTGGAAGTGGAAAAGGAAATTTCCTGAAGCATAAATCCAAAGAATGGGGTAGGGGAAAGGAAAAAAGAGAGCATATTAAAAAAGATAAACTGATAAAGAGAAATGAAAATAGTAACCAGGTAGGGAAAAAAATGTGTTCAAAATTCAACCTCAAATTACAAAAATCAATCCATTACATAGACCAATGATAACCAGTAACAAACAATATACCATTAAAAAGAAATTCTGTGAAGTTAAAAGTCAATTAGAAACCACAAATAAATCTTGTTGGAGAATTGCTAATTTTGTAAATGAAGTATGAATTGACTAATACTACGAAGATAATTTTTTTATGATATTAAAAAAAGTAATAAGAAATCATATTAACAAAATTTGATTTCATGTCAGAGGAAGACAAAATAGATAAAAGACAGCACCATGAAACAAAGTAGGTGGAGTAAAGGAGGCAGAAGAGACCTTGGTTTTTGTCTCACATCGAACATCAAGTTGCTGCACACGTAGTGATAAGCTACCAGCAATCTGGTACCCAAGACACCAAGGTAAGCAATGACATCCAGGTTCTAGAACATCATCAAATTTTCCAAAATGCTCCTTAATAGCCACATTTGACTGATCTACTTGATAGCAACCAAATGCTTGACCCATCCTTCAATTCTGTACTCAAATAACACTACTCATCAAACCAGATTAAACTTGATGAAAATTTGTATTTTACTTCCAACAATCTTTTTCAATTTTCAAAATTTACATCATCAGTTTACCAAGAGTTTGTTGCTGTTATCCATAATAAAGTCTTAAAAACTGGTAGCAATGGACAGTGACATGCATAGCTATACTGCTTATACATTAGACAAGAATAATGAAACAGCGAAGCCATTATAAGGAGGATAATTGCAAGATGTTCAAAGTTCAAACCTCCATACATATAATAACATAATTAAATTTGTAATCATCTACAAAGGAACAGTGACTAAAAGGTCAAGAATAAACAAAAGCTCAGCTAAAAACCAAAATATAAAGAAAAGAAATATTCAACAAGAAAATATAAATGCTTATGAGAGTAAGATACTTATTTCAGAGAAGGAAAAGCAATGAAACTGAAATATATAAGTGTTTATGAATGAAATATTTGATTAATTACAATACTACAGTAAAATTATAAAATTGAGTTTATCCGGTGAATCTGACTTTTTCCTGTTTCAAATAGGGAGGTGAAAAAAGTAGAATAAAAATCAATTACATATCCATAAAAAACTCAGTTCTCATAAAAAACACATTTGAATTGGAAATCCACCTATCCTACATCAAACCTTATATAGTCACATTAATTTTTCTTATAGTGATGCTCCTCTACGGTTTCCCTAAGAATTATACAGAAAATAAAATCCAAGAAAACAAACATGGAGCCCTAAAAGTTAGAAACAGTGAAACACGAATTGTCAATAATACCTTCCTCGAAGCCAAAAAGTTCACCAAATAAAAAGAATATGAATTTGAAAAAACAAACAAAAACGAACTGAGCTGATCCCAGAAAGCAAACACCAAAACGAAACACAACCCTTTTGAGCACAATTCAAAATCATAACAAGAGCATCTCCCAAAGAAAATTCAAAGGCAAATAGCGATTCATTTTCCGTGCATCCAAAGCGAAAGAGAAAAAAAATGCACCTTTTAGTCAGAGAAACTCAAATATTGAATCTTTGTATTTATCCACTCCAACCCAAGTAGATGCAATGCAAAATTGCAAACTGCAAAACACACTTTTGCTTATATATACAAATGATAATCTGTGGGCATAACTCATTTATGGTGATTATATTAATTTCTACTTAGTTTATTTCACCTATTAAGGGACCCACCTTATTTCATCATAAATATCTTCTTCCCACTTGTTTATTTACAGGTCATGTTAATTTTTGTGTGTGCCATTTATTATATGTTACTATTTTTATTTATTTAATGCAATTTTCTTTCTTCTTTTTTTTTTTGTGTGGAAGGTAATGCACTTAGAGATTAATTTAATCACTGAGATTGATTCATTTGGTTTGATTTATATTTTATTGTTAAATAATTACTCATTATTAGTTTCTAAGCACTACAATAAAAGTTTTGCAAGTTTGTGACGTAATTGATTCTGAAATGGGATAATTTTTTTTTTATGTTTTCACTTGCTAGAAACAAAGGATTATTAGATCATAAATTTATAAGTGGCATTTATTTATTTAACTTAAAAATGTGTTTGATAAAAAAAAAAGGCTTTTTCAAAAAGATAATTGTTTTACTTTAATCTATTTTAGTTTAATTATTTATTATTATTTTTTATCCTTTTTATATTCAGAAAGTCTTAGGACTTGTTTATTTTTTTCTTTTTAAATATAATTTTTAGTTTTTAAAAATAAAAAACAGAAAAAATTGTTTGTTAAAGTAAATTTTAAACATTTTTAAAAATAATATTTTATTTTCAATTTTTAAAACTGAAAAACAGAATTACTATTTGATTTCATTTTTAAAAATATTTTTTTAAGTAAAAGCAGTTTTAAAAATTAAATTATCAAACAAATTTTATTTTTATTTTTTCCTAAAATAATTTTATAAAATAGTTTTAAAATATAATTTTTAAAAATAAAAAATCAAAACTAAATCAACAAGCCTTTAATATTCTCTCTCACTCTCATTTTTATCATATAAATTACTAAAATTATATTATAAATTTATTTTTATTTAATAAATATATTTAAAATATGAATAAAATTAAAATTTTAATATTTGAAATTTTTATTAACTAATTGAAATTTTTTACGTCATTTTATATTTTAACTCAACTACTAACTTTATAAAAAAAATTAATTTAATTTGTGAATGTATTGACTTTTAGCTCTGAACTTTTTTTTAATTTAAACTTTCAACTAATTTATTGTCTAGTTTTATCAAACATAGAAATATAAAAAGAATGATATTGAACTATAATTATATAATGAAAAATCATATAAGTAGTATGTGTTACATAGATCCTATTTTTATACCATCTTTGTGTTAGTTTTTGCTTTAATTTGCTTTCTTTTGTGTGTGTGATAATGTGATATGTTATAGATATCGGAAATGCACACTTCATCCCAACTTTTAGACGCAGACTTGATAAAGACATGATTCCACGAAAGTCTATGTTTTTGTTTTTAATGTTTTTGGTTAGAAAAGTCTAATATTTGTCCCCTAACATAAATCTCAAAACAATGTTATAATAATAGGTTTGAATTTCAGCTATGCTAATCGTTTGAAATGGAAAAGAACGTTTTAATTTGTAAAATATTTGACTTTAAAGCGATTAATTTGTCTTTAAAAGAGTGGCAAAATATCAGCTGCTAAGCCCAGGTAACACCTTATTAGAACAATTTCAGCTTTCAAGTACTGAACAAATTTGATTAGACTAATGATTCTTTTGAAAATATTAATTAAGCAATTGATATATAAAATTTGTTACTAAATATTTTAGTTTTATTAATATGGAGTTTTGGGATTCTAATTAGTATTTTAAAAAAATAATTTTTTAATTGATTGCAAGATAAGAATGAAATGTGTGGCTATTGCAGCACCTTGTTTGTGATGCATTTGATGTGTTTCTTCTGCGAAAGATAACAATGCTAAAGTCAGAAGCAACTTGTTCTTAATGGTGTTAGCATAATTACATGGAATGTGGATATTTCCAAACCTCAATGGTGACATTTACACAATGCAATGTGAATATGAAGATGACTAAAATGGCAGCAAATGGTCAAAGGTATAATAAATTAATTGCAAAAGATGAAAAACAAAAAGCCAGCTAAAGCCAAGTCTTGCCAACTTAGCATTCTCCAAAGTTGACTTTTATTGTAATTATCAATGGACCACTATTACAAGATATCTCTCATCCACAAATATAAATTTTCCAAGCACTTCTTAAATTAAAATAAAAATATTTAAGAGAAATGTTAAAACCATAAGAGATATATACATAATTAAATTAGGTAAAATATAAAATCTCATTTGAAAGAATATATTTAAATTTAAACAAGAAGGGATTTTATTAACAATGTGTAATATTTTTAAAAAATAAATTAAAAAGATTAAGGTGCCTTTTCAAATAAATATTATAATGAAGAGGTGATAATTTTCGAAAAAGAAAATTGACTAAATACTTCTCCAAAAATATGAGACTTTAACTCACCCAAAAAAAAAAAAAAAAAGTAACCTTGGGTTCATTATCCATTTGTAAAAATTGGTCTTTTAATTTCAATTTATGCCATCAAAATGGTTTGTATCAATTTAGTTTTTACAAAGACAAAACTGACATCATCTATTATATATTATAATAACTTAATATACATTTTGACTAAATAACTTCGTTAAACACTTATTTCATTTATCTTATTTTAGATGTCACTTCGTATTAATACACATATCATCAGAGAATAGTTAATTTAGCTATCACAAGTTCTTATTTATAGAAAAATGTAAACCAATTCTCTAAAGACCCTAGTTAAAGAATTAAAAGTGATTTTGTTTTTATTGCAAAGTATAATACTATACTTTTCTCATGATTTTCAATATGCTCCCAACATGATTTCCAATAAACTAAAAGCAAGAATCTTGTTTATAACTTCGATTATGAACTTTACTTACTGAAATATGTTAAGAAAACATGCTTAATCTAGTAAGCTTTTATAAGAAGTATACTAAAATAAACTGAAAACAACTTATACAAACTCTATAGAAGCTCTCACAATCTTCCCATGCATGCAGATTGCAATGGAAACAGTTGCATTTGCAGCTAGCAATTGTACCAATGCCTCTATTTAAGTGTAACATGAGCAGATCAAATGAGAATATCCAAACTCTCAAATAACATTTCACAGCACAGTGTTATGAGTGCAAGAAATTTGAAGGTATCATTACACAATTGCAATAAACAATGAATCCATTTTACAAAGAAACAAAGCTCTTTCTAAACAGGCAACATATTTAACAAACCAAAAGTAAACCACAAGCCTTAAATCACCAAAAAGGAAAGAACCCTGCAGACTAAGCACTTTTTAAGTTGTTCAAAACTCTAGCATGTTTCTCTAACAACATTTGATTACACCAGTAAGTATTTACTGAAACATATAATGTCAAATAAGTATGTAAAAATCTATGACTAACACAAGTTAACACTGCGCTCTTTTACTTCTTTACAAAAAATACAGTCTGACAGGAAGTAAACACATGATATGGTTGAAAAGTTAAAGGAGTTCAGTGAATAACAATTCCCTCACTTGAAAGCTGTATATGACAGTTTGTTCTTCCTATTTGTCATGCACTGACCTTATATGAGATTTTATAATGATAAAAGACTTTAACAATTGCCTAAGGTTTCAGAGAAACACTCTAGACACAACAGTTTCTGTTCAGCTAATCGCCAAATTTGAGGGAACTGAATGAATAGAGAATCAAATTAAAAAAAGTGAACACTGAACAGTGATTCTTTTACCTAACTGGTTTTGGAGACTTTCTGTAATGAAGATATGGAGAACCATGTGGACAATTTGGACTTGTCAAGGTTTTTATAGGTTGACCCTTCCTTGGCACAGAAACTAACTGTGTTTTGATAACATTTTTATGATTTGGCATGGACATGGTACGATCTACTCGTGCTGCTTGGAAGTGATAAGATGAGATAGCCATATCCTTGAGGTTTGGTAAAGGCTTTAAGGCTTGAACAACTTCGCTCATCAAAGGTCTAGATTTTGGATCACGGCTAAGGCATTGAGCGGCCAGCTGTGCAGATTTCTGTGCTCCTTTAACTGAGAAGTGACCTTCAAGGCGGGGATCAATTATCCGGTAGAACATCCTCCGGTCTCCAAGTACAGGTCTTGCCCATTCTACCAGATTGTGTTCTCCATTTGGTCTTCTCTTGTCAATTGATCGCCGGCCAGTGAGCAACTCCAGTAGCACAACTCCAAAGCTGTAGACATCACTTTTTGATGTCAAATGTCCTAATCAGAATTGGTAGTTTCAGGTTAATATGAAGTGTTGGTGTATAACTATGCATGAAGCATATCTAGCACAGGGTAATATTACAGGTTATCATTAGGCAAAACCAAAGGTAGCTTTCTTGCTTATTATTTCATCATGATTCCTTCTTGATTTGCAGATTAAGATCAATAATTTAACAGTATGATACTTTTGAAAGACCCCTGCCCCCCACCCTTTCTCTGATATTCTTGATGAATTTGAGTAATTGATGTATATCTAACTTTCTTAATGCTGCCATAGTATTATTGAAAATTGAAATAATTACTGATTGACCCTTTTTCAGAAAAGTTTGTTAGGCAATGATGCTAATGATTTAATAGTATCATTATTTGTTGTCACACACAGCATATGAATTATGAAGTCACGTTGATGAGGTAGAGAGCAAAGTCGGTTAAAGAAGGGAAAAAAAGGGTGAAAAAAACCAGTGCCCAAACTGCCCATGACTTGCAGCTCACGTGTTACAGTATTTATGGATGATTATTAGTGCCGCATTCTCCATTTTGTATCATTGTGGTTGTGTTTCATATTGATACAATAGCTATTCTTCATCTCTCACGCAATAATATAGGGTCTTAAAGTTCAGAAAATTTTTACGTTATCAGAGTCTAATCCTATCGGTATGATTAAAGACAGCAGGTAGCACTTTGATCATCATTTAACAGTTTAAACTTCTAATTTAAATTATTCTTGCAGAATAATGTGTGCACATGCAATGAGCAGAAGGGTGAAGAGTCAAAAGTGGAACATAATATGAAAAAACTCAAAAGGGAGACCGGTTAGTTTGTATGTCACAGATTACGAAAACAGATATTTCATTCCAAACACTTAGTAGGAGGCTTAATGCCATAAGACGTGGATAGAATACAAGAAATAGTTTGTCCTTTCATAAACTTTAGACTCTGGATTCTTTGTGCATACCAGCATTTATTTGGGCTATCTACTTGATCAAATTTGAAAGGATATCTCAAGCAAACTCAGATATACAGTACAGAGATGCATCAACAGTGGAAATTTGAGAAATTTGTGAACCTCATGTCCTTCCTAATATCTTCAGAATGCATATTTCATTCTTCAACAGGATCACTTTTAATTTCTGAACTATTACAGCTGTGTTCATAGTGTAATCGACATGAAATAATCTAACTAAGCAATAGACAAACATTTATCATCGATTAGTTGAATATGCAAACTGCAGCACCATTAGCTGTCTTGAGTCCTAATTATGTAGTGAAGTAATAAGTTCAAGAAATATTACCGCTCGATGAGAAATAAGGAAGGCTCAAAACTCACCAGTCATCACATACTCTGGAGCAGCATAACCATATGTTCCCATAACTCTTGTTGATACATGTGTCTTTTCTCCCTCAGGACCATCTTTGGCAAGTCCAAAATCAGAAAGCTTAGCATTGTATTCCTATAAGCATTTGTGGTTTTAGCTTTTGGCATTTGGGTTGGAGGATGAATGAGAAATAATTAAAACCGTCTTGACTAGTTTACTTACATACCGCATCTAATAGTATATTAGATGTTTTGAAATCACGATATATTATTGGCCTCCGAGCTTCTTCATGGAGAAAAGCAAGACCTTTTGCAGCACCAACTGCAATTTTCATTCTGATAGACCAAGGAAGAGGTAGGGGCCCTTCAGCATAAAAAATGGTGGTTACTAGAATAGTAATTAATGATACAGGATAATTTTTTAAGAGCATAGTGCCAAGTAGAAAGAACAAATGCAATATTGGAAGAGAACCTTTTTTCACTTTAGTTTTTGTTCTATATGCATGAAATCCTGATAGTTGGAACTAATTACTGGATTAAGATTATGGTTCTGTATAGAATAATTTTTATGAATTCAATAGATTATTAATTCTAAATTGAGTTTCACCCATACGGTTAGCATCCTAGGATTATAGTTGCTTATTTGATAGACTAGATGAATAGTAGTGAAGAGATGCAATAGAAACAGAAAAGGTTTACTAAAGAAATAAAAAGGTCTAGTAGTGTACTTCTAAAGAGGTGGTTCTCCAAACTTCCTCGGGGCATAAACTCATAAACCAATAACCTTTGGTCATCTTCAATGCAGAAACCAATCAATTTAACAAGATTAGGATGGACAAGATCACCAAGATAATTTAATTCAGCCTGGAAGTAGAAAAGGAAAATTGAGAATGTTAACAAAATAAGAATGGTAAAATAAAAAAAATGAAAAGGAAAAAGTTGAGAAGGTTATATAAGTTTCTTACAAGCCACTCTTTGTGACCCTGATGTCCATTGTGGTTGAGGGTCTTGACCGCAACCGTAAGCCCAGTACCTGGTTTCACAGGTGCTGTTCCGTTCTCCTCGATCCAACCCTTGAAGACACAACCAAACCCTCCCTCACCAAGAAGACTCTCTGGTCTGAAATTCCTAGTTGCCACCTTAAGCCCATTGAATGTGAATTTTCTCAAACAAGAAGCAACCTTCAACTCCTCACTGACTTTCGGTGTGGAAGGGATACTTTCTGCCTCACTAGTTGTTATAGAGGATTCTGGAGGAGCAACTGTTTCCTTTGAGATTTTTTCAAAAGAAGATTTGTTTCCCTCTGATTCAATTATCACTGACTTCAGGATATTATTTTCACCTAAAAACAAGAATGAATGGTTACTTACATGGTTTGATTCTGGCATTCTCGACTCTACACAACTTCATTGCAATATCATTATACTTGAATATAACTAAATAGTAAATATAATTAAGCAGTATCATGCAAATGGTCAATGAATCACAAATTTGTCTAAATCGACCCAGAAAATAAATTTTGGGTTGAACATCTCTTACAATTTTTATATGATTGAATAATGATTCTCAGTGTTAGTACTTCATTTTTCATCATAACTCATTGCCAAGATGCATATAGTGATTTCATTCAATACTTAATACAATTGTCAGATCAATTGGATAGGGCATACAAAATATATTTCTTGGCTTTGGATATGATCAAGTGCAGACGATGTTCACAAAAAAAAAAAAGTGCTGTGGTCCAATGGTAATGCAGAAAAAAGGTCTTGAAAAACTTCTATTGTTTGCAAATGAATCAGTTATACCTCCAACTTCCTCGGTACAAATGTACAATACTAATTCATATCGCTTTTATTACAAAAAGAAACTCAGAATTCATTTGGTTTCTTATAACAAATTTGCATCCTCAAACACAAAAGGATATGGATAGATCATATCAATAGAACCAAAAAACTGAAAAAGTAAAGACGATCTTTTTTCTCCACCCAAAATTGATGCAAATGACAAATAGAATATATTTTATGAAGCAAAAGAACTTGGACATGGAAAGAAAATTACCATTATGGGCACTAGTGCCACTTATGGTGCTATCAACTTTTGATCTTGAAGGTATGCAGCTCCCAAAGAAATTGAATCTAAACCACCTTCTTCTCTCCTTCTCTGCACTACCCTCCTTCTTCCTTCCCTTTAACTTGTCCACATCCAAACTCCCTGCTTGAACTGCATTATTCCCAAACCCCATCTTCCAAAAACTCTCACAAACAAGTTTCCATGCCACAAAGGTCTAAGACTCTAGATTAAAAAAGGGCAGTTCAAGTCTTCAAACCACCCCACTTTCAATAATTGAACAATTTGGAACTCATAATGAACTAAACAAAAAGAACAATATCATGGTATTGAATGCTCTCAAGGATCAACACATGTACACTGCTGAATGACTGAAACCCAGTTGTGAACTAAGTCCAAACTCCAAAGCAAAGTGGTCTCTTGTGGGAAGAGAGAGAAAGAGAGAGAGAGTGCTTGTGACAGTGGGAAAGTTTTTCCACAACGGGCAGGTCGGGCAGGCTTGAAAATATGAAAAGTAGGCAAATGGGCAGTGAGGGCAAGAGAGAGAAAGTGACAGCCATTTCTTTTTCTTTTTGAAAACAGCACTGCCACTTGGTAAATTGCAACCTACAACATATGACTTTCACTTTGCTCTCTAAATTATTCCACAGATAATGTTCTTATTTCCATGAGGAACTAATATACAAAGAAACCAATCATTAAATTAAGATTAAAATGATAAGCATATAGAATGTTATATATCATCAACAAAATGAATATGCATAGTTTGGTAGCTTCTCTTCGTGCACCACATTTGCATTTTCTATAGTTTTTTGGTCAATGTAATGTAGGACTTTAGGAGCACTAGCACTATCATTCATTCAGGTTATGACACGATATCTCTACCTTGATTCTTTTTTCTTGATGTGTATTGATTATTGGTTTTCCATGTATTGGCATTGGCACTCATCGTGAGGTTAACTTTTTTGAAAGTTTTGTGAGCTAATTCATGAAGGAGGAGACAATGGAATCAATCATTGTCAGGGTTCCTTAGATGCCTTTAAAAGTGTGGGTTCAGTCAGTATGTGGCCCAGTACTTGTGTCTTTCCTTGAAACCAATTTCTATACTTTTAATTTTATCAGATTATTCTTGTCCACATTGTAGCTATATTCACAAAATAGAAAGAGAGTTGTGGCTTGTTTCTGCATCGATATCATCCATGATGCTGCGGCATCTTAATTATACTAGCCTCATGCATCTAGATGAAGTCATCCATTAAAGTTTGGTCAAGATAGGGTAAAGATGCATAGGATAAGAAGAAAAGATACAAGTAATATGAATTTTATCCTATTTTATATTTAATTTATATGAAATAATTTAAAAAATAATAATATGAATAGCATATAAAAAACAAATTATCCCTATAAATAATAATGTAAAAGTAGGAAGAGTGATATCACTAAAGACGGTGATAAGTACGATAGTAGTTTTATTAGCAATAATAATAATAAGAATAATAATTGTGGAGATGAATATTACACATGTAAATGATAATCGTGATAATAATTGTAAAAACAATAATCGTAGTTGTAATAAGGGCAAAAGATTTGGTCAAGTCAACTTGATTATTAAGTCATGGAGTTCATTTTCTAAATTTTTTTGGTTTGAATTAATTGACTTTTCTTTTTAATCTCAACTCATTGATCAAAATGTCTAACAACACTTACAAAGTGAAGGGTGGTAAATTATAAGAGCATTATAATAACGCACATGACATAAACAAAATATAATGAAGTACACATGCTGAAGTATGCATAGAATTTAGCAAACTTAAGGTTTTAAAACACTGTATAATTAAAATCAATCAAATCTTAAGAAATTACAGTTTTTTTTCTTACAAATGAACCTTGAATAGCAATGAAAAATCTTTGATACTGCACGATAATGCTCCGGTGATGAGGATGTGATTGCAAAGTGTTCTAAAGGCTTTGTTATTGAGGAAAATGTGAAAAAAAAGGAGGTAAAGACAATAATATGGAGCAAGAGAATTAAGAAAAGAAGATGATGGTCATGTAAAATAAAAAGATAAAAAAGAAAACAAACAAATCTCTCACAATGCAGAGAAGAAACCTCAATGTGAATAAAAATCCTATAAAACTCACAAGGAGTGGGGGATCCCCCACAAGAAAGTTAAGATTGAGTTTGAAGTAATTAATTTTTATGAACCCTAAACTGGGCTTAGCCCAAATCAAGTAGAATCACCTATTTTGCCATGTTTAACAACTGTGGACTGTGGTGATGGTGGTACTATAAAAGTAAAGAAATTGTGAGATATGAGATAAAAGTAGAATGAGAGGCTTTTTCTTCCCCATCATATCCTATGGATATGATAAAGATTGGAACAATATTTTAAGAAACCGACAATAATCTATTGACACACTTCCTGAGAGTATTAAATGGGTGGAAGAAGAGAAAGATAAGAAAAAAAAGAAAAACAAAAGTAAAAGATGTGATAGATGGATGTGATAAAAAAAAAAGATAAAAAATACAAAATAGGTATAAAAATATGAATTTTTTAATACAATAACTATGTATTTTTTTATAATTTTTTTTATTTATAGATGTTTATTCTCGATTCTAAGAATTAATGTTAACAAAACCTTAAAAATATAAAAGTTATTTTAAGAAATGCTTAAATTCGCTGGATTGTTAAAAACAAAGCTTTAAAGTTGAGCCAAGATCCAATCAATATTCTTTTATATATATATATATATATATATTGTATGAATAATTTTTAAATTTATTTAAATTTTGAAATATATAAAAGACAAATATTATTATTAAATATTAAATAAAGATAAACTTATGTATTTTAAGGTGAAAATTTTTATTTTTATATCATTTAAGGTTATAATACATAAATTAAAAAGGTAATTAATCTCTTTGTTTTGATTTATTTTTTTATAATTTTTTAGTATTTTTTTATCTCTTTTATTTACTATTTTGACATTTTTATATACTACTGTGATTCATCTTTTTCTCTTTCACTCTCTTTATAAATGTATAATTAAAAAAAATAATGTTTTCTTAAAATTTTAATATAATAAATAGATAAAAACATTAACTTTTTAAGTGATAGGTAAAAAGTAAGTGATGTATTTAATAGAAGATATTATTATTATTATTATTATTATTATTAACGATTTTATTTTTTTATATATAAGAAAACAACATAATTGAAATTTGGCATATGTTATGCCCATGAAGAATCACACGTGGAAATAATTTACTAAAATCGTTATTAACACACTCATGACCTTACCTGATTACAAATGCACTCATAATGTGACTTGATATTTTTACTGTTAATTTTTTTTAACTAAATCTCTTAATTTTTACTTTTACTTTAATTTATTTTTCTAACATATTTTATTTTATCCCTTTAACTTACAAAAGTATTTTAATGAAGTTATTTTCTATTAAAAATGTTAATTTTGTGAATATTCAATTTTACTTAGATCTCATCTAAATAAAATTTTAAAATAAAAATTAGATTTTACAGAAAGTTAAGATTTATAAATTTAAATTTAAAAATAATTAAATTAAATTAAATTTTATAAATTTAAATTTTAGATTTAATTTTTTTTAAAATAGGTAAATATTTTTGTTAAATAAGTAAGTTAATGGAGAAAAAAATCAATAAGAAATAGTAATTTTTAAGAGACTGGATCAGTAGTATTCGAAAAATAAGGAAGTTAGAGTTTTTTTTAAAATAAAAATAAAAATAAAATAAAATTTAGGATTTCAAAATATAACTATAAATAAGAAGCTTAGTGAATCATGCCAAAGATTAAACATAGATCATTTAATGAATGTTTCTTTAACGAAACAAATCAGTCAATTCAAAATGTTACTGAATCTTATGCTTTTTTGAGATCTGTATGTGATGCTAACAACGAGTATTAAAGTGTATGTGTGACTCGTTTAAATCATTATTCTAATAAAAAAAACTTTTTTTAATCGATTTGAACTTTATTCTCACTATTTTAACTTTAAAAAAAAATCTATTAATAATATAAACATTCTTCTTTTATGTATAAAATTTATGATTTTGATGGGTGTATCATACCAATTTACCATTTAAGATAAGAAAAGCTTTTCGAAACATTGACATGCTTTCTTCAAGCTCTACAAAGAAGCAAATTTTGGTACTTTCTCAATATTTAATGACATGTTCTCACAAACCCAACTAAGCATCCCTTCTAAACCTACAACATTTGTAAACTCCTTTGATTTAATAGATTGTTGGTGATCAAAATGATAAATGTGGTAATTATCAAATGGCATTTTAGTCCACATGAGAGTGGAAAATTTAATTGAGAAAAACAATGCCCAAAAGAATTAAAGATTGTTAAGTTGCTTCGTCTTGCCATATGAACAAACTGTGTATAATTTATTTTAATTTTTTTAAATGTAATTTTTTAGAGAGTTATGAAAAAAAAATTATTTAGTTTCTTAAAATATTTTTTATTGATTCATTTAAGCCGCACCAACGAGTTTTAAAGTAGGATTGATGATTTATCTTATACTTTTTAGAGGATCGATTAACAAAATTCTTAGAATTAAGAAATTATGAAAATAAATAATTTGAATTAAAACACATCATTTTAATGCTTATTAATTTGGCACGATGTGCTTATATATATATATATATAAAGGTTAAGATAAATTAACTCGTTCCTCTTAAAATAATTTTTTTTATTTTTTATTTGTCACTTTAAAAGATTTGACTATTTTTTATTAAAATCATCGTCTACTTTTTTTTTTAATCTCTTTGTCAATTAGTTTTTTTTATTTAAAGTTAAAAAAGTATAATAAAAAAAAAATTTAAAATTTTTAAAAGCAACAAATAAAAAAAATGGATGTTGGACCACTTCGATGATCCAAAGTTAGAAAATGAAACTTCCAACCAATTCACAAAGCTTTATTCCACTCATACTTATTCCACAGGAAATTTAGGTTGATGTTTCGGAAAAAGAAACGAAACATGTCAATTTCCAAGAAACCTCTGTGCACTCCAACATTTGACTACATCCAACTCAATTACCTCATCACTCACCAATTCATAAACTCAAGATAACAACTATTACGAGTTCATCACTACACCTTCTACTACCTCTTGCCAATTCTAATAATCAACCACATACCCAAAAGGCTCGTACTGTGCTACCCTTCTTCGGTTTCATCAACATGACACTGTACAGTGGCATCACAATATACCATGCATACAACAACAACAACACCCCTCTGTTAGTGGGCAAAGCTTTTGTCTACTTTGGCTCATTCTTGTTGGACTATTGGTTACGTTTGTGCCACATGTCACCACTTTCTTCACACAGGCATAATATTAAAATTAGAATATTTATTAAACTCTCGTTTTTGTCTCTATGATAATTAGTATTGTATTTTGATCTTTGAAATATTAAAAGTCTAATGTTAATTTTTAACCTTCACTTTTATTGAATATTGTAGTCCTTAAACGTATATATCGTTAACAGATTAGTAATATAATACTAGCATGTTTTATTAAGTACCATGTAAAAGAATGATATGATATGTTTTAAAATAAATTTGAGTGATAATTTCTTATTTTTCTCACAAAGAATTCTAAAATTAATTTTTTTCAAATCAATTTGCTTAATTCATATTCTTTATCTGCTGCATTCTTTATCTCAACAATGAATTGATTTAACTTTTCATGATCACTATCAATAGAAAGTTTTGACTCTTCTAAACTTTCAGTAAGTTCTATTATTGATTGTTTGTCTTCATAAAATACATAAATAATTCTCTCTTTATTGTCAATGGTATTAAAAAATGTAGAAGAAAAGAAACTCTTTGAATGTTAATCATGACAATGAGATCTTAAAAATTTACTCTCATCCATCGGAGCTATTATTTTATTTTCTTTATATTTAACTTATGAAATTTAAGAGCTTTCTTAAATCTAGCCTTGAATAAAGTCGTATACAATAATAGGAATAAATATATTACTTCTAACATATTAAGTTCTTTGCATAATAGGTAATTAACTAAAGAGCAAATTGATGATATTTTTAAAAGAATTATGTAAATTTGACTAGTCAAATTTAAAATAACTATATTTTTACAAAGGTTACCAAATTGATTTGAGATAAATTAATTTTAAGGTTCTTTGTGAGAAAAAGAAAAAATTGTCATAGTTATCATTTAGAATTATTTAAAATAATATCATATCTACCATGTCAATCTTCTTATGTAACACTGAACGTAATATGTCAATATTCTATTACTATTCATTAACAGAGACTAAGTTTAAGAACTAAAAAAGTTCATTGAATATAAAAATCTTAAACTAATGCAAGATTTTTAATATTGTAAGGACTAAAATATTTTACACTAACTATTTTAAGGATAAAAATGAGGATTTAGGTGTTTGGGACATGAATTTTGCTTAAGAGTCACGTTGAGCTTTGCATTTAAGTTTTCTATGCTTATGAACCTCACTTCTTTAGGATTGTCATGGGTGGCAACACGTTCCTTTTTTATGTCTACTTCATTTGTCGGGAAAGTGATAATAGTGCTAGTGCTAGCTCCACTCATGATAATTGTAGCAATAATGACAGAAAGGAATGTTCTAATTATAAATCATTAAGAGAGGCCAAGATTGTAAAAAATGTATAAAATAAAATGGTACTTATCAAACACTGAACTAGTTTGGTTTGAATTCTTCTAGTTTAAATAAGTGATTTTTATTTTTTTATTCGCTTAAATAACATATTTTGTACTCTTTTTTTTATTTTCTTTCTATCTTTTTTCTTATTTATTTACATTTGTTTCATCCTTAATCTATACAAAGTGTTAAGTTAAAAATTAATCAGTGCACGCGACCTTGGAAACAATAATCTATTTTTCAATTTTGTCCAAAAGCAAGCCATCTACTGACTACTAAAACAATAATTTGCATTATTTTAAATGCTAATTTAATAGCTCACAGACAAACACACAGCATATATTCGATGAAGAAGGAATAATACTGTATAATCTAAAAAAAAATCCTTATATGTCTAATTAAATTTCAACTCACCAACAGAACTTAGTCTATCTTGGATTTTTTTACTGAATTAATATATTTTTGAATTATTTCTAAAAATATTTCACGTGATATTTTTTTATAAAAAATTAAATTTTATAAATATAATAGAAATATTTTTTTGAAATAGTTTTAGGAAGTGGAATTTCAAAAATATATTGATTCAAAAAAGTCATTTTTTTAAGATTAAACTTATATTCAATATCATATGTATTGTTAATGTTATTTTTTTTAATAAGAATTAGAATTTTATTTGATAATGTGTTTATTTTTAACGTTGGTATGTTAACCTTTAACATGAAGTTTTATTATGCATATCATTAAAATAAAATTGTACTTTTAATTGAAAAACAACATTAACAATATTTTTGGTATAAGTAATATATCTAAGTTTTGTTATTTTCCTAAACGATGTTAAGAAGTTGATTTTGAAAAAATTGACTTTTCAACTCTTTAAGCCTTGTTTTTAAATTATATTGAGAAATTGATTCTCCAAAACTAGTTTTCCAATGCGTTTTTAAAGTAATAATGTGTTTTTAAATTAAATTCTAAAATTAAAAAAATTGTTTTAATTTAAAAAAAATTGTAACCATCGTTATTGAATTTGAATATAAGAAATATAAAAAATATATTGACATATACTGTGATGTGAATTTACTTTATTGATAAAAAATAAAATGAAGCTTATAATGAAAGTTATAATTTGAAGTAATAAAGATCGAGATATAGCACTGCATAAAAGATAAAAAAAAGAAAAAATTATTATGAAAACATATTAATTTATTCACGTTGTGAACTTTCTTTAATATCTCACTAGCTAAGATGAAAACACTCATGTCATTTAAATTCACCTTGAGATTCCTTACAAATTATCCTTTCAGTGGAAAAACTAGCCATTTCACTGAAAAATCATTATCTTTCTAGGTAGAATTAAATTGAACAATTGTTATTTATACATTCAAGCAATATATATGTTAATTGAACGATTGCTATTTATATATTTGCTAAATTTTAAATTTAAGATGATAAATTAAATTAAAATAATTTCACACCAAATCTATGTCTAATAATATTTATATATTCTCTTAGAACGCATTCAATTAAATTAGTTGACAGTATGACCATAAACTGTCAAACTAATTTATAATTATAACTTCTCTTTTTTATATACAAATTTTAATAATACTAATTAAATTAATATATTACATAAAGTGTCCTTTTAATTGTTTTTTACCTAGATAATTTTGTTTAATGAGTAAAAAGCTTTACTTCCGAAGAATAAGCTAAAATGACCCTTCCTAGGTATATCTTTAATTAAATATTCTAAAAGTATTAATCAACGAAATTCATCAGAAAAGTGATATAATAAAAAAATAACAAAAAATGTATAAATAATACGATAAATAAAATTATTATTTTAATCTGATTTAGTTTCCGGGAAACATCTAAGAAGTTGGAAAGAATCATCACTCATCCACTCCTCCCACATTAAAAACGCACCGTTCCTTCCATCCCCGAACACACCAATTCACAACCATGAATCCATCGCCACTACCCCTTGTCGATTCCAATCACGCGCTTACGCAAAATCCTCGCACACGCGACGCGCTCTTATCTTATTTCTTACCGTTCATCAGCATGACAATAACCAGCGGCGCCATATTCCAGCGCGCGTGCACCAACAACGACCTCCCCATGGCGGTGTTCATCGCATTCATCTTCTTCGTTTCCGTCTCCGTCGACTACTATTGCTTCGGTTTCAACCACAACTTAATTCCTAACTCCAAAACGCGTCGTTTTATCAAAATGGTGATTTGGGTCTTACTGAGTGTCGTAATGTTAGGGTTTGGATGCGCGTTTTCAACGTTCATGGATGTTGCTGAGTCTCTTTGTTTCTTTGGGGTTGTGATCGGTGGCAACGCGTTTCTTTTCTATGCGTATTTGGGTGACGAGGAAAAGGGAAGTGTTAATGTGGAACATTATGCACACGTTTTCGAGTCGTTTGTTCCTGTAATGTTGCTTTTTTTTTGTCTGTCGAGAAATTATCTAACGCCTTTACCCGTCATACATGCTGCAATCAGGAACGGAAGGAAGATCAATAGGCGTCCAAAGTAAATTCACAAGTTTTTTTTTTTTTAATCTTTTTGCAAATAATCTTTATTTTGATTCCTAACTTTGTAAAACGTAATTATTTTTTTTATTGTTGTTTTTTATTAGAAAACTGAATAAAAATGAGTATCATTTGAACAAGTTATGGACTTCTACGAAAATTTTACAATATTAAGGATTGTGACAAAAGATCACAACCGTAATTTTTAAAACAGAGACAATGTGAATACTGAAAAATATGAAAAATGATGTGTTTACAACCATTCGTAAAAATATACCGATACGAAAATGAAAATTTTATGTTCTTTGGTCTACGTTGTGTGGGATTGATATAACTACATTTAAATCCTATACAGTATATACCGTGAGGAAGACGAGAAGCAACTTGGTTTGCCATAGATGCTTTTCTACTGAGTCAGGGAGCAATACTTCGAAAGAAATACTATGATCTTCTGTTAAAAGACCCATAATGGCTTTTATCAGGGCCTGTTTGCAAAGGAAGTGTAATTTACCTAGTTCAATTGATTTGTATTTTGTAAACCAAACTAAGCCTGAAAGCAAGAAGTGGGTAGTATTGGTCATGTGAACTTGTAAATAATAATAATAATAATAATAAAAAGCTTAATATAAATAATGAATAAAATTATTCAAAAAAACTTATCTTTTTTATATTTTAGAGATACTAAACCAGAGTTTTTTAAAATTTTTCAAAAAATAGAAAAATATAAATTATTTTTATCTTTGGGAAGTTTTATTAATTTTTTATAGTGATTTATTTTTCCTAAAATTTCTCTAAAAATTTATCCAAATAGGATCATAGGGCCATTTCAATTGTAGGCATAAACTGACCCCATAAAACATTATCAATAATTTCATGTCTACAAAAAGTAGACAAAGACAAACACGGTACACCAAAACTGCCAGGAACAAGCATAGAAAATGCAGATACAAATTGTCTTGCACCTGTTGAAAGACAAACTGTTCTGTAGGCTTAAAGTAAATATACATTGTTGCTGTTCTATGCTCAAACATACATACATAATTAAACTCTACATTCTAGACAGTGTATGCTTGCTGTATGGTGTCAATGTCAAGCCCCTTTAATCTAACCACGGACTCTACATGCCCCTTTAATGTATGCAGTTCTCTCAATCTGCAAAGCGAAAAGGAAAAAAACACAATGACATAAAATAAGTGCACAAATCATGATAACAACAATACAATGAAATAATAATTGCTATACTACAGATAAATCACTTCAGATCAAGAGAGAGAACAACAATAGACTGAGGAGCAGGTTAATAAGAAAAATGCATAAAAAGATAGATACAATAGCTTTCCTCTCATCAAATCGTTAACCTTGAATCCAGACCATTTACATGGTCTTACAACTTGAGGTGAGAAATTGATTAAATGTTTTAACAAATCATAAGTGTCAAAAATAGGTTAGAAACAATATAATATTATGTGGATGCAAGGTAAACTCTAATTTGTTTTAAAATATAATGTGCACTAATAGTCTTAAGTGCATATTATTAGCAAAACTCACTGGCGGCAACATGCAACATGTGAGAGGGTATGCATACAGCAAACTAACTAGACCAGACCATCATAGAAACACATGCATGCATGCATATACCTTGCTATCTCTGCTCGTCTTTTAGCCTCTTCAGCCATCTGATTAAGTTCTGTGTAATTTGTGCGTTCACTGAACATCTTAGTCTCCGGCGGGTGAAGGCCATGGAGTGTTCTCTGTGCATGTGCCCATTTGAGTTCACGTTCTTCCTTTCCAAAATCTTTTTTCCTTGTAAAAGCAATCTGCAAAGATTCCATTCTAGAAATTAAGCAATATGCTCAAATGTTGAATTAGTCTTTTTAATTGATAGGGGAAGACATACTCTTTGTTCAATAACAAGATCCCAAGCCCGGCCACTCAAAGCATAGCGAATTATGAACTTGATAAAATCAAGTGGGATATAAAAGACGAGGTTATAGAGCCAAACAACACCAGCCCAACCCCATCCAATCCCTTCAATTGCAGCAAAACTCCAATTTGCATAAACTGCAATGATGGTAGCTATCTGCTCATCAAAGAAGATGGAAAAGTTATTACTTCATTATTATATTCACAATGTACATGACAAAAGTAGTAGTGCTGTGTTGAATTCACTCACCAGCTGGGCGATAACAAAAGCTGCTACTAGTAACAAACCAGGACGCTCAACATAAGACCAGCTCCGTGCCCGTGTAACGAATATGAGGGCCTGACTAATTGTACTAACTTGAAGGTATATTGCTGAGGCAAGCTTTCTGAAGTCATCCCTATCCTTTTTCTGAAGACTTGAAACTCCAAATGTGCTCTGAAAATTTCATAACAAGCGTCAGTTCAAGCAATAGAGCAACAATGGTGGTTGAAAGTAAGTAGTACATATCATACAAAACTCAGACAAAAATATCATGGTTAGTTTTGGATGTGGACAAACAAATTTGATTTGTATCTTCTTATTATTTAGACAGGAAAATCAATAAAAAAACTCCCAACTTTGAGTTCTTGGTATGACTATTTCTTAGAGAAAACCTATTAGTTTAAACTTCCACAAATGGCCATCCTTCACCAATTGCTGACATGTTCAAAACAAATGGGTAGATGGTGACTGTTGCCAAAGGGAATATTTGGTCAAATGCTATAATTAAGATTTGATTAGTAAAAGTAAACATTACTTCATACTGTTCAAGATAATTGCACCTAAGTTTAACTGAAAAAAAATAAAGACGATGGAAGTTCTAAGAAGTTGATTGAAAAAAATTTCTTACAGGAAAAAAATCCGTTTTATATGCTGCCCAAAAGAAAATAACTGTCATCATAGCTAAATAACCGCCAAGAATTATTCCAGTGGTAAAGATCTCTGCCAACTTCCAGCTATCTGGATACGGAGATGGTTTTACCCTGTCCTTCGATATTGTCATAATGGTACCTGAAATGTTTAAAAGATTCATATAAGTTGAAGGAGAGAAAAAGAAAAATTAAAAAGGGGTTTTGATATTAGAAACAGAATCTTTTTGACATCAGTTAAAATAAATAAATGTGAAACATGGTGTTGGATATTAATTAGTTGGTGACAGTTACCTAAATATCCATGACTTTACTAATAAAAAGGGGGACTCAAAGTATGCAAAGAAAAACAAGGTACTGACCATCATTAAGAATAGCAATAATCAGCACCATGAATGGTGGAAAATCAAATTGCCAGATGAGGGCCAGTAACATGAAACCAAGCTGTCAGAAAAGAAATTCTAGTCAGTAACCAAAATCATATGTCAACAAGAACAATAGTTCACATACAAGCTACGGGCATCTAACTTACCACAATACGGATTGTGATGGAAACTGCATAGATCTGCAGAAAAGAAAATCCATAAATTAAAAGTGAAAAAAAATCATAATTATCATTATTTTAATTAAAAGGGGAATGTGGCTTTTAGGTATGTGACATTTGATGGGAAGAAAAATCAACAGAATCCAATTTCACAAAGTCATCAGGTAGTAAACTTCTCCTCAGCACCATGTCACCTTATTGATAAAGGGACCAAATTCATTAAACTGGTTTTCTTTACACAAGGCATTGCCAAGAACTAGAGCAACACTTCAACAGATTGTAAGTACATATTCAGGTCTGCGATTTAGTATGACATAACACTTCAGTTATGTTAGCATAAATAGTGTTTAGACTTTAAAGATTTGCTAAATGCCTAACTCATGCATTACATCTTAACTTCCAAGTACTTAAACTGAATTCTGTTAGAAATTAGAACTGTAGGTAGGCTCACCGTGTAATTCTTCATCCTTTGGAATATTGCCCGACTGGTCAGTACAGCACTGATGATAACACTGAGACCTGGTTCTGTGAGAACAATGTCAGAAGCGCTGCGAGCTGCATCAGTAGCATCTGCAACAGCTATTCCTATATCTGCCTTTTTAAGAGCTGGGGCATCATTAACCCCATCACCAGTCATTCCACATATGTGTTTCCTAGCTTGTAACCGTTTCACGATCTCATATTTGTGCTCTGTATTAAATAAGCTCATCAAGTCAAACAAGTATAAGTAGAACTATCATATGAAAACAAATCATCATTATCATTTCATGCAAATATCATGGCAGAAGAGAAGAAATCCACTGTTCCTTGAAGTTGTTTCTATGAGATATTTTATGAATTCTAGCTTGTTGCCACTATCAGCAGATGCAAGGTCATTGAATGTCTGCATATGTTTCTAAATACTTAGAAATTGAAGAGAGAAAAAAAGATGTTATACCAGGAAAAACACCAGCAAATCCATCAGCTTTTTCAATCAACTCATCAACTGGCAAGGTAGCAATTGCTTCATCCTTGTTTTGGCCCAGTAAAGTTGACGAAGGGTACATGTTGGTTCCCATCCCTAGTCGGCGTCCTGTCTCTTTTCCTATTGCTAGTTGATCACCTAAAGAGATTGAAACACAAAGATATTCATATTATTCAAAAATATGACATATTAGAAAAACCAACTGAATTGTGCAAAACATATTAATTCTTAATGTCTGAATAATTTCAATTTTTCCATGCATAGGTATTGATAAGGTCAACCTATTATCATTAGTTCCAAAATTCCACTCTATAAGAACTCTCAACTAAAGTCTTCATGCGCATATTTTGTAACTATATATGATCTGCCTATGAATTCACTGTTTTCAAGCTAGTTAGTCCTCAATAAGAGATTTTGCACAAATAGCCAAATAATACTTGAGAGCCTCAATCGCTATTTCAAGTAAAGAAATATGTTATAGAAGCTGAAAGACATAACTTCACCTAGGGAGTAAACTATTTATGCAACTTCCCACTTAATATAACCCTGAAGGGAGGTCATGAAATTTGACATCATTTCAAAAGCACAAGTGATGAATCTAAAAGATAAAAGACTTGTCATACATATATTGATGTACAAACTATGCAACAAAAAAAAAAAAAAACCAAGCAC